AAAAATGGCATGTTGCCATCAACACAGACAAAACAACCACAACGCTTTTCTCTCTTTCCACCAGGGACAAAGCTGCTAGTATTCACCTAGGAACATCCTTGCTAAAGGAAGAAAGCTTCCCCACTTATCTTGGAGTAACATTTGATAAAAGGCTCACATGGAGCAAACATATAGAAAATGTAGAAGGGAAGGCCAGGAGACGACTAGGCCTACTTAGAAAATTGGCAGGTACAGGATGGGGAGCAAATGGAAAAACCCTAAAGAAAGTTTATAATGGAGCGATAAGACCCCACTTGGAGTTTGGTGCAACAGCATGGTCAACAGCTGCTAATTCCCACCTACAATCGTTAGACAGAGTGCAAAATCAAGCTCTTAGACTCATCACAGGATCCATGAAAACTGCACCAATCCTGAAGATGCAGAAAATAACTGCAATGCAGACATTGTCCTATAGAAGAGACACTAAAACTATGATCCAGATGGAGAAGTTTAATAGTATGCAGTCACACCCAATGAATAAAGGTTAGATGATCTGGCATTAGGGCGTCTCAAACGTAGCAGCTTTGTCCATCGGGGGAAAAGACTTAGAAGACAGTACCAAGCTGATCTACCTATTAGAACAACACCGCTGAAACCTACCCTATACCCTGTACCTTGGGAGCAAGTCAGTGATACAATACAGATAATGACTTCAGTCAATGGATTCACAACTGGAGATGAGTCCAATGATCTTCAAAAACGAACAGCTGCTCTTAGCATGATTCATGAAAACTATCCCGAACAGTCATGGATACATATTTACACAGATGGATCAGCAACCAGCGCGGTTAAAAAATGGGGGTGCTGGAGTCTTTATTACATACCCAGGCAACCACCGCCACACAAAGTGGATACCCACTGGTAAATTCTGTTCCAACTACACAGCAGAGATTGTAGCACTAGAGCAGGCTGCCGAAATGTTACACAACACCAGTTCTGACTGCCACCAAGTGGTTATATTCACAGATGCGCTTTCAGTGCTTCAAGCCCTCAAGAGTGGCAAACTCCCTCACTTGAGATCTAAACTTGGCAAGGTGGCTGCCCAAAAGTGTACTGTACTCCAGTGGGTGCCATCCCACTGTGGTATACCAGGAAACGAAACCGCAGATAAACTTGCTAAAAAAGGGGCAGAATGTGACCAAGAAGAGAATGCAGTAACATACTATGAGAAGAAAAGGGCCATCCAGGCTATCAGAAGTGAACAGAGTCTGGCCAGAGATGACTACCACTTACTTGACCGGCATGGGCAGGTCATTGTCCTACGTCTCAGGACAGGACATAACAAACTTAACCAGCATATGCACAGGCTTCGTCTAAGTAGTTCACCTTTTTGCCCTTGTGGGCTATGTGTGCAGACTACAGAACATGTCCTGCAAGACTGTCCCTTGTTCAGCCCATTAAGAAAGGAATACTGGCCCAGTGAGTCACCACTGTACACAAAGTTGTATGGGACTAAAAATGAACTCATTAAAACAGTCAAGTTTATCACAAGAACCTGTCTGTCAGTGTAAATCAGAAAGCGAACACAATAAGAAGAAGAAGAACACAACTGGTCTTCCATATTTTACAGTTTTAGGCGACCATATAAATTCTTCCGCAGATATTTTTTATTTCTTTTAATTCTGTCTTTGATTAACTATTTAAAAAAAAAAAACATCATTAGGATTGAGGTTCTAAGATAAAAGACTTTGTGCTAGAGCAATTGCCATATGATTTACAACCTAAAATGTTATTTTTCCTGGCAAAAATGAAAATCCTTTGCCCTTCTAGTAGATAAAGCTGGGTTCTTCTGACTGAGCACTTGGTATCATACCCACTTGACCACTCATTATTATTTGCTTTTGAATAACCTCCAAAGAAATCCACAGTTTTACAACATATCTGACTACAATAGATGCAAGTGTTTGGTATTATTTCACTAGTTTTAATTTATTTTAACTCATTTAGGTAAAGAAGATCAGAAACACTACCCAATGGAATAATAGAAATAAAGGGAAAATCATAACCATATAACTCACACAAGGGTTTAATATCTAATAAACACCATTTGTAAAAAAACAAATACATTGCCAGATTTTGTTAGTATGCCTGACTAAATATAAGAAGTACAATCTTAAGTGGCAAATTAGTTGGTGCACATACAGTAGAGATAATCCCACATGATACTTCTTCTACTTACTCTTCTTCTACATTAACTTTTACCAGGGTGCTAGGCTGCAATATCTACACCTTTTAGTTCAACACCTTAGATTTCAACAAAATGCATGGTGCATTGTTAAGAACAGAAAAAATTACAAACATTCTTCCTATTCTTCAGCATTCCATCACATTCATTGCTGCAGATATTACCTGCCTCAATAATCTCTCTGACTGGCCTTCTCTAGGGAGGCTGAGTGGTCTCGGGATATGGTGTTGCCTCGAGTACTGGAGGTCCCGGGTTCAAGGCTGGGATTTTTTTCACATGGGCTTCTAGTAATTTCCCCTGGTCTCTGGGCAGTAAGATCGGTCGCCCGTGTGTATTCTTGTTCATGTAAAAAAATCCCTCGGCAGTTGGAATTTGAAAAAAGTAGCATAACTGCAAAATTTGGAGTTAAAAATCTGCCCAAAGTATATCAGCATCCTCGCCGGTGCAACATAGTTCATGCACTGCGCTGAGATTCTTTAGATTCAGGCTTGAGTTTGAAGTAGAATAGAGCATTTATGGGTTACACCAGCATGATATGATGTTGATCATTCACATAAACAAACAAACAATTGGTCTTCTCTTTCCAATTGGTATAACCAAGTGTTTATTGGTCTGTATGGTTATTTTTGATCCATAGTCATATTGGTCTGCCTCGTGGTCTATGACCACTCGCCTCTTTTATGTATTCAGTTTTTGTCTCTCTCTCTTATCTGGCAGTCTCTTAATATACCTCAACCATTTCAGCCTATTATAGCCCTTATGATGTCCTTAATTAGTGGTGATTTAAATTATGAATTTAATTGTTGCTTCTCACTCTCTATTCTCCACTATATCCAATACACCAGAATTTGATGGTTATAAACAATATTATCACAATATACCCTTTCATTTCATAGCATTCTGAAGATGTATTGGTACTAACTGACACTCATAGAACTAGAGGATAAGCTAGACAACATGATATTGAAAGCTGTAGTGACCACATGAGATTTTAATCTGCCACCTCCAAACAGTGCCCCCCCCCCACCCCCACCCCCATAGGGACAAGTGTGTTTCACCACAGAACCCTCTAGAAGTATCTGGAATTAAAGGAAGATCACTAACTGGTCATGTGCAATGGGTATATAGGGCAAGGCCTATATTTTATAGACACATCCAGTGTTGCCACTTTGGATGTTTTACATCCAGATTTAGATGTTTTCCCTTGCATTTAGATGACATTTTTGATGTTTAGATGGTAGATGTCAGTAATTCCCTGAGTGGATCCAGGGACCCCATTTTGAGGGGACAATGAATAGGCTGCTGCACCTCAACAAGCATGTCCTAAAAGGTGACTGGTTAGAGAGTCACTGAAATCAGATGGGTTGGGACAAAAGGTGCAGATATCACAGCCAACATGTAAACGACAAAACAATGCAAGTAAAAAACAAAAACAAATTGGTTACTTATTTAGGGAAAACGCAAAAGAATGATTGTTGATTGTTGAATAAAGAATTGATATCACAGCATTTGGGGCATTCCCATATATCAAGGCTTTTCAGCTAAGTTTACTCAGGGTGCCAACATTTTGATAAAGGAGTTCATCACAGGCCAGAGGCCTTAACCCCAGCGTAGAAAGAGCATTCATACAATACAACTGACAATGATCCACAGGCCACTTGCTAGGCCTCCACGGGCCTAATTTGGCCCACGAGCCACCAGTTGAACAGCCCTGTCATATGTGCGTCATCCTCATATTCAGCAGCAAGTGCAGAATTCCAGTTCTGATGGTACCAGTAACAGTCTGGTTGTGTGTCTCACCTTACCCTTGAGTGTTGAGCATCTGACAGATTCTCTGACCACGCCTTGCAGCACTAATCTCCTCACACCCTGATGATTTTTGTATGCTTCTGCACTGTTTACTCACTCCCGAAGGACACGTAGAGAATCTAACTTGTCCCACATCAATTCACCTCTAGATGGTGAAGAACCAGCTAGTTTACATTTCCCAACATACTTGCATGACCGGGAGAAAATACCTAAAGGACATCATTAACTACCCAGGACTTCTGAGGCGATAATTGCCGGTCTGCACAGAGCATAAATGCCTCTACCTTTCTCAACATGCCTTTAAAAGTGCAGAAGAAGAAGAACAGTAATGGAGTTTATGCTTTCTGGGAAAAAAAAAAGCAGGAACAACAGCATCACAGTAGACACAGGATATCAAGGACACCCTGTGCACAAAAGTTCACCAGGCAGAAAAATTTGCAGTTGGCAGAGTGGCCTTCTAGAATGCCATGATGAGAGAAAAGTTCTTAAAAGTACATGTCACACAATGATGATGCTAATAATCATTATCTTCATGTGTCATGTTGGATATTTAAGAACAGTGATTCATTTTGTGTATGTACATTTAATGCTTTTCTGGAACATCCAGTTTTATATCACTTTTCTTTAGCTGATATTTTAAAATTATTATTATCTTACACACCTTGTGATACTGTTCAAAAATTTAAATGTTAAGTCGTGTTTTTAATATGAACTACACATGTGAAAAATTGGCATTCTGGGAATAATTGTAATGTTAAAAAAGAACAACAACTAAGAAAACTTGCTTCTCGCCATCATTTTTTACACCATTATAAGTGTTTTCATCTGAACCAGAAGTCTTGCAGCAAATAATCTCTAAGCCACACTGCTTTAGACATTCGTTTGTAATTTTGTTTGTATGTTCTTATTTCCTTCTTGTCAGTTTCTTCTCCAAGTACCCCTTTTTTTGGGTCTCTGGTTTAAAGATCTAAAAGTTTTCAAAATGATGTTCGAACATGGCTTTTGTTGCTTTGCTGGCATCTACACATGCTCGCTCAACACCTTTGGTAACTCCTGGAGGTCCACAGCTGAATACACCGACTTTCCGAGCCTGGGGAGATTTGAGAGTATTAGTTGATAAAAGTAAATATATAAATGTGCTTGTTGCTACGTAAAAACCATGATTAATTAGGATAGCTGCACTATCTAATGAATAAACATTTTATTATAGCAAAAGTTAAATTCTAATAACTGGTCAGTTGATTTATTTTTGCCACAGAGAATAGAATGAGACATAAGTTAACTGAGGAAGTGGAATTTGACGATGGCAATGTAAACTCTACTAGACTGCTGTAATACTTTTCCTGTAATTTCCGAATCTGCCGCTAGACCGTTGTACCTAATTTTCGGTACTTTGCGTACTACGTGATTAAATGCATCACAAACTAAAAATAACCACCCAGTCATGATCAAACATCATGGTTAGTCATTGCCAATGGCTGCCCACATGTGCTTTGATTTACTTTGTGTGGTTTAACGTGAAAAAATTAGGAAAATTCACAATGAAACAAGCTGCTGATGAACTAAGCACTTTGACAGGAAAGTGAAGTCAGTGTAGGCTTTTCACCAGGTGATCGATACTTTGGTTTATTCAGATTCTGAGGACTCAGAATTTCATGAAGAAAATGTTCCCAGTTGAAGTGACACAGTCAGTGAGAGCTTGAATGATAAGGAGAATCTTGAAAATTATAGATTTAAAACTAGATCTACAGAAAGAGAAGGGGAGTGTGTCCCTCAAACAGCAACATCTGGTGCTCACTTTGTGAAACAAGGCTGATCCTGCTGGGGGGACTGGCACACAAAGGTGGAAGATTGGCACTAGATGAAAGGTAAACCTATTTTCTACAACGTCTCCAAGTTTAATTTTATTCTAACCACTCGTTTGCATGTAACTAATATTGTTGTTTTTCATGTTGATTTTTTGGTGTTAATGCCCAGGAGCTCAGGTATAGAGGGCAGTTAGATTCAGGGCCTCAGGTCTGGTAGGGTTAAAGGACAATGATGATAACATCAAAAAAAATCTACAACAGAATAATGTGTTTATGGTTGAGGTGGCCACAAAAGCAAAGAGCAGATCCTTATATCTCCCTCAACATAAAAAGCAGCAAAAGAGGAAAAACACAGAAGAAGAACATTTAAATTAGTTGCATGTCCTCTTCAGGACATCACAAACAGAACACTTGTCCCAGCCATCTTACTTGTCATCCCATTACTTTAACCATGAGAAGCTGATAATGTGACTTTGCCATCTGTTACAAATCCCCTTGTGGCAGATAATATAGACTGACAGTTTTAGCCAGTCTCTGTCAAGCCCAGTTAAAGACACTGGTTCTATTTGCAACTTTGCATTGTTTAGGAGGTCTGGAAATGACTATATTTACTAAAAACAGTTCTTAGGACATTACTATTATGAAAAAAGATGAAACTGTTTCATTATAACACTATAATTTGCCATTTTTATCTTGCACAGTCACTTAGGATGGGGTCACTGGTTAACGTTTGTAGACTAAGGAAAATTATTAATTTACTTCTTAGACTCATTTGTGTTTTATTGATTAATCCCCCTTCATATATTTCAATACCAATTTAAAAGAGGATTGTAAATAAATTTAAAATACAATTTTTTAGTTACCTGTGTGAATTGAGGTTAAAGGATTAATACATTCAACATATGGGAACTGTCTGTAACAGTATTATGTATTTATTAATAATTCTGTAAAGTTAGAAACTTAATTTTTTTCAAGTATTCTATTATCTAGTATCCCTTTATTTCTCCCTTTTAAAACTATTACAGCAGAAGTAATTAAAAGTTTATTTGATTAACAGAAAAAAAAAAAAAAGGATCAGCCATTTTAATGCAATTTTAAATTATTATAATTTCTTTATACTGAATAATTACACTTAGATGTTCTATTGTACAGCATAAAAGAAGGGTTATACATTATGCATTAATATGTCGTAAAATAAATCTCTTTAAATATTCTGAAAGATACATTATACAGTTTAATTTATTACAATTATTTAATAAGTTCACTTAAAATATAATAAATTCAACCTATACTCATAGAATCTGTTACAATTAATATAGAATCTATTTCATCAATCAGCAAGTCCTTTACAGAACGTTGCTCTCTTCACAGCACGCCTAAATGTATCTCTTTTCCTAACCAGCTCTCCGGACCCATGTGCTTTCAATGCCAATGCATTTTCAATATCTTGTGTCCATTTTCCCCATGGTCGAGCCCTGCCTCGCCTTCCACAAACTGCACCTTCCATCACCCTCTTTTCCAAGCCCCCCTTGATGCTTAATGTGGCCAAAATACTTCAAATTTTGGTATAGGATGCTGTTTATGAGCCAGTTCTACTTGATGTTCAACTTGTTCAGAACGTTGATGTTTTCCCTCTTCCTGATCAATGGTATTCTAAGAATTTTTCTATAACATTTCAATTCAAAAGCTCGAATCTTTTTTCCTCAGTGACTGAGTGAGAGTGATATAATCTATACAAGATTAAATAGCCAAAAGTAATTGATAAATACAAATATTGACTATTTAAACAGAAAAAAAATTGTTCCATATATCCCAAGTATAACCAATAAGGGTTGAAGAGGAAATCATTGTATAAATTATTACTACTACTTATTTTCTATGATAAGAGTGTTATACCTGAGGATGTGCCTTGTGAACTGCTGCCATAATTTTGTTCAATTGAGGTCGACCAAAGTGTGTTGTTGCCTTCAGACCAGTGAACACACTTTTCCCTCCATTCAGTTTTTGAAAGTGTTCCTCAAAGATGTACTGACAAATAGAATAAAAAAGTAAAACTGACATTAAGAGGGAGTAATTATTAATCCAACCTAGATTTGTAACTTTTTACTTTGAGTTTTAGCAACAGAGATAAAAATTGTTGTATACCGCTCTATCTATGGGCCAGACCCAACATGTGGGTGTGTCATGGGTGTTTATCGCTTGTGTGATGTCCTGGTGTATCATGGGGTGTTTATCACTTGTGTGATGTCCTGGTGTGTCATGGGTGTTTATCGCTTGTGTGATGTCCTGGTGTGGTACAGCTACCTACCTACCTACCTGATCATTTTACCACTTTTGAATCCCTATGGAAATATCTGCTCTTTAAAAAAAAAAAACAAAGTTTTGATTTTAAAATATGAGTTTTAAACTTGTTTTATTAGGACCACTGTGCTTTCAGTTTGTCATGATAAGAACATTAGGAAAGTAATGACAAACTACTGAATATCCAGCCCAGTGGTTCTCAACCTTCCTAACGAAATGACCCTTTAGTGCAGTATCTCATGCTGTGGTCACCCACAACCATAAAATTTATTTTGTTGCTACTTTATAACTTCAGTGAATGTGTTTTTTTTTTTTGTTGGTCTTAGGCGACCCCTGGGAAAGGATCATTTGATCCCCGAAAGGGGATGCAACCCACAGGTTGAGAACCACTGGTCTAGACCCCCAAAAAAGGGCATATTAGTCACTGTAAAGTGTCTAAAAAAAGTGCTACATATAAACACACACACACACACACTCACGCACGCACATATATATTCATTATAAAGTATTTAAAGTAGAACACACCAAAAAAAAAGTGTGCTGGTACTGTGTACCCCCCCGTTCCCCCCACACACTCTCTCTCTCACACACACATGCATTCACGCCCGCGCACACACACAAGGACAAAGCGTTCATGCACTCATGCACGCACCCACCCACCTGTGCGCACGTACGCGTACTTGTTTAAGCACACTCACTTACATGCACACACACACACACACAAGCTTTTGCTGTCACTAACTTCAGCTAAAGAAACTAACAGATCTACTTACCAGCAGTGCTGTCCTGAGGTCAAAATTCTGGAAAAACTGGGTAATAAAAATATCAATGGATACCATTCCTTGTGTATCGACCTCTTCAACTTCCTTGAGAATGTCAATTAACCACTCAAAATGTCTTTGGCTGCCTGTGATCCAAATGAAGTATAGCTGAAAATGGATAAGCAATCACATAAACACATTTCCAGCTTCATAGTTAATGGGATGAAATATTTTGGTCATATCAAGCGCCACGACGGATTGGAAAAAATAATAGCAGAAGGCATGGTGCCAGGAAGGAGGGCAGGGGCCGACCGACACGAAGATGGGCACAGGATATAAGTGACTCCTTGAGTATGAAAGTACACGAGACAGGAGAACTGGCGAGAGACTGAGTTTCTTTCAGGCAGACCGTGATGAGAGCGACGTTCTGCAAAGGACATGCTACATGATGATGATGAGTTAATGGGTCACTCCTTAGGTGCTCTGTTCCGTTGACAATAAAAACCCCATATAATGTCCACCACTGTCTCTTGTGTGAAAAAAACTGATACAGTTGCAGTTTCAGCAAAGCCAATAACATACGCAAACATATTAAAAGCAGCTCTCCGGTGGCTAGAGAACAAGATGCCTACACATGTTGTAATTGTAACAGACTCTGAAGGCATGCTGAGAAAGGTGAAGACAGGGATGCTTTGAGCAGAGTGGGTAACTTCACTGGGAAGGTCACAGGTAGTGAGAATACTTTGGATCTTTTCTCCAGGCCATGCCAGTGTAGTGGGTAATGAACAGGCAGACAGATGGGCTAGATCTGCACTACTGGGTGTTGAACTGATACATGAAATGGCAGATGTGGTTAAGGCCCTTTGGGAACAAGCAACGGAATCAGTAGAGAAACAAGATTAATATGGCCTGGAGAGAATGAGGCACCTGGGTGTAACCAGAGGGTCTGGCCCGCTCACTACACTCAAAGGAAAGGCAAGACAGACTTTTAACCTGTATTGGAACTCTGCACTGGCTGCTGAAGATGAGGACAGAGCATTCATGGGAATGCCGAGAGTGCTGGATGCCAATTTTTGCCTCAACTCAACATATTAAATGCCTAAGGCAGCAGTCAGAAGTGCCAAGCTAAACAGTCCGACACAAGAAATGTGGCTCATCGTCCATGGAAGCAGAAGTTACAACAGATCAGTAATCACACATGCAATTAAATGCAGAAAGCAACACCAGTTTTCTGTCAACAGGCCACTGGCCATTTTTCTGAATCTGCAATTCACAGCACAAACCACATGGGAAGAGTTAAAAAAGCATTCCAAATCAAAACCGTAGCTCACAGTGTCACGCTGTGGACTCAGTTTTATAGCTGGGCAACAAAACTGTGTCTTTTAAGTCTACATAAGGAGGAAAATGCATTGGCCAACTATTGTAAAAAGCAAAAACTTGCCATGACTGAAAATGATGAACCCTGCCTATCCACCATAATGACTGAAAGTCAGATATGAAACGAAACGAGGAAGTCAATGTGAGTCAAGGGAACAGCAGCTCTAAGACACAGTGAGACATGATATATCAGACAGACTGTGGGAACAACACCATGAACCAAATTCATTGTGAAGCAGAAGATCAAATGGTTCGGTGATCTTTGTTAGAATGCAGCCACTACAACTACCAATACAGGTGCTACATCTAAAAAGAGCAAGAGAGGGCCTTAAAAAGTAACTGGACTGATGACGTTAAAGACAATGTCTTTTAATGTCCACATGGAATGACATTATTTAGTGCTGCCCACTGTGCAATGAATCGTAAACTATTCCTACCCCATGATGCTCAACAGCAAAAGTGGAAACTAATGAGGATGATAATGATGAACAGAAGAAATTTTTTCAGCAAATTACTTTATGACTCATCACAACCATCATTGAGCAGGTTCATAGCAGAACTCTGCTCTATCTTCTTCTTCTTCTTTGCTCTACTCCTGAAATGCCTTGTGCCATTGGGACAGGAAGAGATCTTTGGAATGGGCCCTTCTGTTTGCTTCATATAAAGTACATTTTAGTGTCTCTGATATTTATGCAGTCCATCTTCTGTGTGGTCGACCTCTGGCGTTGTCACTGCTATATCTCTATAACATTGCTCTCTGTGGTGCCCTGTCTGATGCCAGTCTTATTACATGGCCAAATCATGTGATTTATTGTCTACCTATAAGCTTTAGTATTGGTTCTGCACTGACTGTCCTCCTGACATCATTGTTCCAAAGTCGATCTTTCCTCGTTAGACCTAGCATAGTACATTTAATTTCTGTCGTGGCTATTTTTCGTCTGTCTTCTGAAGACAGTGTCCATGTTTGAACTAATAGCATAGCATTGTTAAGAAGCATAGAGTTGGTAAGAATATTGTGTTGAACAGTGTTCTTTTAGTGTTCATATTCACATGCTTGCACTTAAAAATTGGTGCCATTTGGTGTAAAACCTGTGTGACCTTATTGCATTTTTGTTGGATTTCTGACTTTGAACTTTGCTCTCATCATAATATCATGATTAAATATTATTACATATTTAGTTTCCTTTAAAAAAAAAAATCAAAGACAAAAAAATAAACAAACTAAATCAGAACTGAAAAAATATAAAACATTTAAATTTCATTTGCTTCAAAAAAAAAAAAAAAAAAGAACTATTTCACAACTGACTATTTTTAAAAATAGAGAACTTTTCATTCTCACTTTTCCAGATTACTTACCTTCTGACATTTGACCTTGTACCTCATGTTGATGGATGCCATGTGGACAAAATCCTTCAAGATGGAGGCATACGGGGTGACACCAATACCTGCTCCAACAAGTACGCTTACGTCATATTGATACCAATCCTGCTGCCCTGCTCCATATGGTCCATCCAAGTACAACTGTGGACAAAATGTAACAATATTTCCACGTCTGCAATATTTAGTTCTTTCTTTTTTCCCTTTATGTTATTTCATTTGATGTCAGTGTAAACTGGGAATTCCCATGAGCTGAGTTAAATCAAGTCCAGGGTTATTCGACTGACCGTGAGTCAAATCTGGCCCGCCGAGGCTCAACAAGTGGCCAGAGATTCACTGCCATGTGTATTATATTAATGATTTTTCTATGCTGGGGCTTAAGCCTCTGGCCCGTGGTGATGATCCTCATTAAAAAAAAATGTTGGTCACTCAAGTAAACTTAGTGGAAAGGCCTGCCATAGTACATAGTCCTCTGATGCAGCAGCCATTTGAAGGTACCTGTCCAGATTGTTTCATTACCTCTTCTTCTTGTTTTGTGTGTGTGTGTGTGTGTGTGTGTGTGTGTGTGAGTGCACACGCAACCACTTTCTCTAAATTCTGGCAGATAGGTAGGTAGTTGTACCCTACCAGGACATCACACAAGCGATAAACACCCGGCGACACAAAGTGCCATCATGTGATTGAGGATCATCTGTGGAGAGGTTCCAGAAACCCCTTTCAGCCATAAGGCCATATCTATGCCCAGACTATATTCAGGCCCCCTGCAGAAGCCAGGGTAGGGCTTCAAATAACAAAAAAATTGCATCTCACAAGCAGACGACATGATATAAAGGCAAAAATTCTTGCAGAAAGTTCTGGTTGTTTATCCACTTCTGGACTTTGGTCTTCTTCCAGGACTTGAGTATTGCATGCACATCCATTTTACATATCTTTCTTATTTGAGTGCAGACTATTGGTTCCCCACCCCTTAACTAGTTGCCCTTTTCCAGCCATAAATGTGGACCCAGAACACACATGGTGGTGTCTGCTTTATAAGCTGGTGAATTATGTCCCCAATCACAACTCTGATAATGCTGTAAACGTGCTTCACCAGGCCTCTACTTCTCAAATCTAAACCATAGCAAAATATGATCTGAAACTTTTTTTTCTTTTTTCTTTAATATATGGTCACAGCGTGCTAAAGAAATCTGGTTTTCCCAGCTGCCACATCCAATGAAATTGAAAGTAAAGCACTCATTGTTGTTATTTTCTCTGCTAAGCATCAGGTGAAATTTTCTTGGATTTACAGAGCTAAGGCATTATGTTTTTGTGTATATGCATACATGCCTACATTAAAAAAAGTATCAATATATCAATGTCAACAAATCTGATACTAACCCTATATAGAGACAACACATGCAATATTCAGTTGTAGGCAGATTTTGATAAGTTTGTGGAGGAGTGTATGAATGAACAAAGGAATGGAGGCAGGAAGAAAAGGAATAATAAATAGAGGGAAAAATAAATTATTAAATGAACAAAAGTTAGGAAAGATGGTAGCAAAGAAACCTCTTTTGAGATTTAGCTAAGCTTGGAAAGTAAAAAAAAACAAAAACAATAACTGCTGCAAAATAATGAAAAGAATAATAATAAATGAAATAATGAAAGAGCAAAAAAATGAAATGAGGCAGGAAAGATTGAATAAGGGATTTCAGAATGAAAATGTTGGTAATAAAGAATTCTCTGCTGAGATTTAATTAATCTTGTAAACAAGCAGAACAATGATTGCTACAATATAAAGAAAACATTACTTGAAAAAAAAAAAAAAAAACAGCAAATAAAAAAAAAAAAAAAGAAAAGGACTCACCTTGGGATAATCCTTGGTGTTTTTCATGTTCACATTATCGACAATATGTCTTAAATTCCAAGTCCAAGGCCCCAGGGCTCGTATGTGGAGCTTCAATGTGTCCTCATGAGGAGCAGAGGTGAGAGTGAATGGGTGGTACTCATCTTTTCCCTGAGCCAAGCAGGCAATCCGCACCCACTGGCCAGATTTGTATTCAAAACGTGGTGGTCTCTTGAATTCAATCATGGTAACATCTGTACATAATGAAACAAGTATGATCACATTTTGTATTAATTCAAGCATTTTAGAGAGTATGAAATAAAGATACAGATAAAAACTAAGCCAGTATTAAATCTTGTTGCATGAATAAAATATCTACAAGAGAGGGATGACTATTACTATCACCAAAACTAAAACCACGGGGATCTCAGGAGAGCTGAAGAAACACCAGATCATGATGGGACAGTATGTATTGGAGCAGGTCAACCAGTTCAAATACCTTGGAGTTGTATTAGACCAAAACAGAGGCATTAAGACTGAGCTGGCTACACGTAAAGCAGCTGCTGGGAGACTCTTCCAGGCCTTAAACTAAGTGTTTCTAGCAAAAGAGAGATTGGCAAGAGGAAAAAATGGCTGTTTACTGCTCTAACTATGTACCAGTCCTGACCTATGGGTGTGAGTCATGGGCAATGACAACAGCTCACAGAAGCCAGCTTCAGGCCTCAAAAATGAGATATATGAGAAAGGTGGTTCAAGTGACAAGAAGGGACAAAGTCCGCAATCAGACAATACGTCAAGATCTGGATACCCAGTCCTTACAAACTCGAGGGGTCAGTCACATTTATGATAGTTTGGACATGTATGCAGAATGGGAGAAAATCGGCCACCATGGCAGGCATGGGAGGCTAAGAAATAGGGAACCAGACCTCCAGGGTGACCTAGGGTCCACTGGGAAGACAACATCCAACAGTTCCTAACTGACAAGATGCTTGGAATGGAACAAAGCCAGTAAGAAAACTGATGATAGAGAAGCCTGATGATCTCTTTGGCAAACCTCTACACTCCAAAGTAGAAGAGGAACAGCGAAGTAAGTAAGTAAGTATGAATAAACATGTTCATATATCACCATTCTGAAGCTGAGGCTCCTCCTCCCCCCCTTTCTCCTCCTCCTTTATCTTCTTCTTCTTCTTCTCCACACTTTTCTGATCCAACTCCTAATCCTAATTCTCATTCTTCTTCTTCATTTATTTCTCCTCCTCCTCCAATTCTCTCTCCTCCTTCTTCTTCTCCTCCTCCTACTCATCATCACTCATGTCCTTATTCTTACCCAACTGCTACTTCTTCTTTGTCTTGTTCTACTTTATCTTTTTCTTCAGCTTTCCGAGCCCTTGAAGCTCACTATTGCAGACATCACCACATCTTTTCAGCTCTGTGACTGGCCTTCTCTTTCCTGTTGGTGACTCCAAGTGTCTGTTAGTCTGCCTACATATTAACTCTTCACCATCTTCTTGGTCACCTCATGGTCTACCGAGCTCAATTCTTTTGTGTAACGCAGTGTATGTCTCTCTGTTGTCTGCCATTCTGTCTTTATGCCCCAACCATTGCAGTCTACTAGCCCTCCTGTTACCAGTAATTACAGATGATTGGCCATGGCAATTGAGTTAACTGTATGTGTCAATTCCTCCCCACCAAAAATATGGTTGACACATTCCGTTTCTGGGGACAGCTCTTATCGTGTTTGCTCTCTAGACAGTTGCAGTCCCCTGCTGACGACATTCTGTCTTCCCGAGTGGACCGCTGCGATCAAAACATTGCGAAGGTAGCGTGGTTGAGGCTGCCAAAATTATCAGTCATTATCCCGCCCCGACACATCACAACCACAATACACGCTGCTCCCACAAAAAACACATAGTATCCTGCGTTGGAAATGCACACAAAATAGCATCCATGATTAGGAAACAGAACAATCCGTGAGAATTGACAGCCAGCAAAAATAATTACGACTGCCATTTTGAAACCTACTGTCACTGGTGATTTAGAGAGATTTAAATTTTCATTAATAATTTTAAAAAATGAAAAATTAAAAAGCCCCTTCTTCTGTCGTTAGGGCCTCTGGCATATCAGCATATGGCGCAAGACACATTTTTATTTATGGACCAGTCAGAACTCAACTGGGGATGTGGTCTGCATCATACCAGCCATCTTTATTTCCCAGGTTATTTCTCAGTCTCTATTTTAAATGTCTTGTTGATACTAAAGAGTTTACAGAAGTTTCTTCTGCACCTAAAGGCAAGCTCTGGGCGTTAATGAAGTTAAATTATGAATAAAGAGTTCCTTCCATACCTAAAGGCAAGCTCTGGGCGTTGATGAAATTAAATTATGAATAAAAACTTCCTTCCATACCTCAAGTCAAACTCTCGGAGTTGATGAAATGAAATTATGAATACAAGTTCCTTCTGTGCCTTAAGTTAAGCTCTGGGTGTTGATGAAATTAAATTATGAATAAAAGTTCCTTCTGTAACTAAAGTTAAGCTCTGATCGTTGATGAAATTAAACTATGAATAAAAGTTCCTTCCGTACCTGAAGGTAAGTTTTGGGCCTTGATGATACACAGCTCCGTCTTTTTTCTACTGAGAGAAATGAGTTTATCAACCATAAACCAGATTGCCGGACCAGTCAGGTATGCAAAGAACATGGGTTTCTGTACCACCACACTTGCTCCATGGATGATCACCAGAATGTAGAGGACTATGAATAGCTTGTGTGTCATCCAGAACATGCTGAAGATGTGACGACGGGCTGTCTGTGTGGCAAACACGTACAGGATACACAGGATCAGAACCAGCAGGACACCGGTGAAACCTGGTCATGGAGAAAATATGGACTGGATTAAAAATTTAGTTGAGACATTAAATTTATGAATATACTTTTTTCAAGTAATTATTGAAAACAATTATTTTCCTTCGTCTATTTTATTTAATTAATCAAAGCTCAAACAATGAATGTTGAATTTTGAATTAAGAATCCACATCACAGCACTGGTGACACTCCCATAAGTGCTTCATCCCCATCTTCAGCATCAAGCAAAGAGTTCCAATTCCAAAAAAGCGCAAACAAAATATGGTACAGTGTATCTTCTTCTTTTCTCTCTTATCCTACTGCTTATGTTGTAAAGCGTTGCAGACATGAGTTAGATTAAGTCTTTCTGCCAGTTGTTGACTTGTGTTAATGGCATATCGTCTTTCTGTAGTGTCTCTTTTACTCTTTCCATACATCCTGTTATCAGTCAGCCTCTTGCCTTGTAATCTGCTGTTCTCATGTAGTCACAACAGCCTCTTGTTCAACCTTCAGGGTTAAATTGGGATATGTAGAGTTAATTGATTTCTCGGAGTTTTTGTTATTTCATATTTATATATCACGCAATTATTTAAATGACTGATATGTAATTTGTATTGTTTCACATACTGCTTTGATTTGAGTGACCATTATGATAAAAACTGTGAAAGGAATAATTAGATAATATTACTTACATTGTGTCATTAACATGTTGGATTAATGATTAATTATTTTCTTAATGAAGTATTCGGCGTAACCCTGACCACATTACCCACCTAGTGCCGATTGGTCTGTAAAAATATGGGTGCTCTTCCCCTATGCCAGATGCCTCTAAGGCATGAAAAGGGATCTTTACTACTTTACTTTATGAACTAGTTGATTATTCTCCACGATTTCATCTCTAGGAAAAAACTTCTTTGAAGATGACACGGGTATTCTTTGCCCTTCTACTTGCTGTTCTCATGTAGTACCCCCTCGCTGCCGGCTGATTTTGTTCCATTTTGATCAGATGACCAAATCATTTGATTCTTTGATATTCCATGAAATCATTTACCGGTACCGTGCCTACCACTATTCTCAGTTCTCCGTTGGTGACTCTGCCTCTTCTGGTTTTTCCTGCCACATATATCAAACATCTCATGCATTGTAATTTAGCACTTATGTTTTTCTAGGATTGTCCATGTCTGGCACTGATGGCACAAAGTTGGTATGAATAGCACATTAAAAATGTTTTTTATTTTTTTAATTTTATCAATTTATCGACTGAAATGCATAGCTGCTCCTCATCAGGTATATCACTACAGAGTTTCCGTCAGAGAGTCTCCATGGTTGAGCGGTCAAGCTGTTTGCCACTGCTCTGAGGATCATGTGCTGATTTAGCAGACGTGTCAATTTGTTTATGAGTGCAGTTTTTATAGAGATCCCTAGGGATCATCACTGGAGCTGTGGAGTTTATACTTTGCGTGACACCCTTGGCAGGTGGCGAGACAATCTCTAGAGAGAGACCAAGTCATACAGGGTAAAACCCAGTGTCATGAAGCTGACCTTCTGGCCTTTAAGTAGAATTCACATCAACATATTTTCTTCTTCTTTGTGCTCACCAGCTGTAAAATACGGTAGAAAGTTCTGTTTGTTCATCCACTCTTGTTCCACAACCTGAATTTTTGCATGCACATTTATTTTACAGATGTAGCTTATTTGTATGCAAACTGCTGGTTCCTTGTCTCTCTGGCTAATGCACTCTGACTTCAAAGGAAACCCCTAATTAGTCGACTCTTAGGGCATGCATGTTAGTGGGAACCCACACGGGGAAATTAACAAATTTTGAAGCACAAAAATTAATCCTTTTAACTGACTAACACAACAAATTGCACCATCTCTTGTTATACCGAGTGTCTTAACAACAACAAAAATAGCAACAGTAAAACAGTCAGAAGCAGCAGCAGCAATATAAACAGTTTCGGTAATAACAACAACAGCATAACAGTAGCAGCATTACAACAACATCCCGCACAACGAGACTATTAACACAGCACAGACATAACAATAGCAGCATAACAGTAGCAGCATCACAACAACCTCCCGCACAACAACACTATCAGCACAGCACAGTCATAACAATGGCAACACAACACTGTACCTGTCATTGTCCCAAAGACCCATTCTTGAAATGACATACTGTTTTCAGTCCTGGAAATAATAAAGACAAGTCAGATAAACAAGCTGAGCATGTTTTGTGAGAATAGACACAATTTTTTTCTTTAAAAAAAAAGTTTTTGCCAAGTCATTTTGCGTAAGTTGTTCAAGTAAATCTTAGAAAGAGCATTCAGAAATAAAGCCTGTACTTTTAATATTCAGAGGGACAGCATGGTCTCAAGACATGGTGTCAGCCCTGAGTGCTAGAGGTTCTGGGTTCAATCCTCGGTAAGGGATTTGTTCATGTGGATTTCGACTTCTAGTAATTCCCCCTGGTCTCTGGGTAGTGAGATCGGACACCCGTGTGCATGGTTGCGCACGTAAAAATCCCTTGGGAGTTGGAAATAAAAAAAGAGTAGCCTAACGGCGCTGCCTGGGCAAAACTCTGAGTTAAAAATCTACCCAAAGTATTTCAGGATCCTCACCGGTGCTACAGAGCCTGTGCACTGTGCTGAGCTTCTTTGGACTCAGACTTGAGTTAGAAGAAGAATGGAGCAGTTATGGGTTACTACCCGTGTGCCATGATGTTGATCCGTTGTTTAAACCTCAAAAAATTTTAATATTCTTCTTCCTTCTTTTCTCCGTGTTCACCAGCTATAAAATCCAGTGGAAAGTTCTGGTTGTTCATCCTCTTTTGGACTTGATTCTTGTTCCAGAATTTAAAGTGTTGCAGGCACATTTGTTTACAGATCTAGTTTATTTGTATGCAGACCACTGATTCTTGCCTCTCAGGTACATGTGCTCTGACTTCAAAGGAAACCCCTAATTATTTTATTCTTTCAACATGACAGTTAGGAAGTGAGTTTATTATTTTCCCTCCCTGGAACCCACATAGGGAACTGTAAACATTAAAAGTGACTGATTTGCCAAATTTAGAGCCAGAAATCTGATCATGGTCTTGTGACCCCTGTAACATATTCCTTGCTCCAAAAACATGTGAAACTGTCTGAGCTATTTATAGTTTAAGTCCAGAAAATTTAACCTACAGCCATGTAGACAGGGTTTCTTTTCGTTGTCCTAATTTTCCATTTGTTTCCCAATTCAGTGCTTGTTTTGTAATTCTCTATCCATTTTTCTCCCCACGATTTTCCCAATGTATTGTTACCTTCTTTGTTTTATAACTGATGATATCAGTGGTAGTCCAGACATTTCTTGTTTTTCTTTGCCTTTCTTCAATTCGTCCTATTTAATGTTCATGAATTTTCTTCCACAAGCAACCATCAGAGCTTGGGTACAATTAAGCTCGCCACTGATTTTGGGAACAGCGTTTGCTGTCACTGTAAAATCCAATGCAGGAGTGGCAGTCTCTTCCAGTTTGTCTACACAAAAACATTGATGCTCTATTATACTGAGGCTAGTTTTCTCTCAGCTGGCTCCTGTCTATAGCTTGACCTATTGCAAAAGGCAACAGTCTGTCTTTCAATGTTTGCCCCAGTGTGCAGCAACCTGCAGCAATCCCCCCCTCTCCCTCCAATCCTTTTAAACATTCTGTGGCAACATGCCACTCACTATTTTCTTTCTGAAATTGCACTTTACATTGTGCACAGTCAAAGGAAACCTACAACTCAGAGTGTCACACCATGCACTTAGCTCGGTAGCTGGCTAATGAAACTGTTAGGAAGTGGAGATCAGAAGCACCTCTAGATCTGTCCAGAATATTGTGGTGATGGGCCTCAACAATTGTGAATCTCATTATCACCACCAAACCACACAATGAACAAAAATGATTGAAACAAAAATACCTAAATATCAGACTTGTGAAGATGCACAGAAAACGGGTTGGTTGAGTGGCCAGGTGGTAGAAGTTAAAACTGTAACCAATTATGTGGATGGCTGTAAAATATAATGAAACAAATAACATTATTTGTATCAGTTACATTTAACATGATCTTGCTTAAGAAGAACATTTGGTTGACATGAACTTGCTTAAGAAGAACACATGATTAACATGGAAAACTGTTTGGTCCCACCAAGGATTTATTATTATTAGCCCCGAGTCACTGTGTAGGTTCTAAGGCCCCATTTTAGGGAAAATAAGAACAGACCCACTGCTGACCTAACAAACATGTCCTAAAAAGAGACTATTTACGGTTCTGAAACAAGGCTAAAATCCAGAAGTAGATGAACAACAAGAACTTTCCACTGAGGTTTACAGCTGGTAAACACTAAGAAGAACAAGAAGAAGTTTAGTTCCCAGTTATCACGATTACTTTTAACCTGATCTTTTTATTGGTCCCTTGAAATTAGTGGTAAGGAGGTTTTACCGTATTTACATCCTCTATTAATTTTAAGTTAATTGCAAACATACACTGTTGGTTTCTGGCTCAAGCAGATCATGGTATTGGCTGTATGGATTTTTATTATTAAATAAATTAGGACAAGATGAACGACCAACTTAATTCTGCTGTAGTAAATATGACATACAGCCAATCTGGCAAGAGCAAAAAAATAGCTGATTTCATGTGCATGTGCAGGGCAGGCCAAAAAAAAAAAAAATTATCCTTTGGCAGTTTGAAATAAAAAAAAGAGCCCAGACTACATTGCAAAATTTACATAAACAGAATGTAAGAGAGAACAGACAAAAAGGAGAGACACCCTGGTCCTCCAGATTAGGGGACATTGCTTTCTTTTTTAGCCAATCACTAATGACATCACAGGACAGCCCAATATTTTAGAGGCTCATAAGAGTGGGTTTTCCATATTTTCTGTGCTGTCGCACATCTCTTCCAAGGCCAAAGTTTTTGCAAGTTAACCTGACCCTAAACCTAACTGTAATTCTAACCTGACCAAAACTTTACGCTTAATCTACCACCCCATGAAATATTTGACTGTCCCGTGACCTGTGGATTTCCCATGTTTGTGGTCAGCTAATAAGAAAGTACCCAGGGGACCAATACCCACATCTTTGGAAAACCTTATCAAGAAATAGATATATAAGTCTCATGTCCTTCTTCTTCTTCTTCTGCCCTTTCTCCCCTGCAGTTAACTCCCACCAAACGAACCTATCTTTTGTTACTGTGTGCTCCCCGTGTGGGTTCTTTGGCCACATTGTGGGGAAAACAGGAACAGACCCACTGCCTCCCCAAGAAGAATGTCAAAGGAGTTGTCTAACTGGGGATTTCTTTCGAGGTCAGAGCCCATCTGCCTGAGCGGCAAGGAACAACCAACTGCACACAAGTATGCCCGTTAAACGGATGTACACCCAAAACTCATGCCCCAGGCACAAAGCCTAAGTCCTAATGGACTAATAACTAGGACTTTCCACCGGACCTTATAGCTGGATAAAGAAAAATAAGAAGAAGAAGTTACTGTATGCAGCTCACTCCATGTCCTCCTCATCTTGTCAACTTCACTCCCTAATTCCTCTAAACAGTAAATTCATATGGATTTAAATGGATTATGATTATGTGAAAAGGCCAGTCTCTGAAGTGAATGGATGTGGGTGATATCTGCAGCAATGAATCTCAAGAGTTTGGAATTCTAAAGAAAAAGAAGAAGCAGAAGAGGCAGAAGAAAAAGAAGTGACACTAGTTCACACAATAGGTTCTCGAGTTCATAATTTCTCCTAACACATGAAATCACAACTATTCTGAGCACATTGAAGAAGGTAGTTGCCATTGTTTCCCTTTATGGAAGTGACCATACCTTTTAAGCAACAGTAGGCATGGCTACTTTAGTGTGATCCTCTGCCCATTAGGTGTGATCCTCTGCCCATTAGGTGTGATCCTCTGCCCATTAGGTGTGATCCTCTGCCCATTAGGTGTGATCCTCTGCCCATTAGGTGTGATCCTCTGCCCATTAGGTGTGATCCTCTGCCCATTAGGTGTGATCCTCTGCCTATTAAGTGTGATCCTCTGCCTATTAAGTGTGATCCTCTGCCCATTAAGTGTGATCCTCTGCCCATTAAGTGTGATCCTCTGCCCATTAAGTGTGATCCTCTGCCTATTAAGTGTGATCCTCTGCCCATTAAGTGTGATCCTCTGCCCATAAAGTGTGATCCTCTGCCCATTAAGTGTGATCCTCTGCCCATTAAGTGTGATCCTCTGCCCATTAAGTGTGATCCTCTGCCCATTAAGTGTGATCCTCTGCCCATTAAGTGTGATCCTCTGCCTATTAAGTGTGATCCTCTGCCCATTAAGTGTGATCCTCTGCCCATTAAGTGTGATCCTCTGCCCATTAAGTGTGATCCTCTGCCTATTAAGTGTGATCCTCTGCCCATTAAGTGTGATCCTCTGCCCATAAAGTGTGATCCTCTGCCCATTAAGTGTGATCCTCTGCCCATTAAGTGTGATCCTCTGCCCATTAAGTGTGATCCTCTGCCTATTAAGTGTGATCCTCTGCCCATTAAGTGTGATCCTCTGCCCATTAAGTGTGATCCTCTGCCCATTAAGTGTGACCCTCTGCCCATTAAGTGTGATCCTCTGCCCATTAAGTGTGATCCTCTGTCCATTAAGTGTGATCCTCTGCCCATTAAGTGTGATCCTCTGCCTATTAAGTGTGATCCTCTGCCCATTAAGTGTGATCCTCTGCCCATTAAGTGTGATCCTCTGCCCATTAAGTGTGATCCTCTGCCCACTACTGGTGGACTTCAAACCATGACCAACAACTGCCAGATGGCTAATCTCAAGGTAAATCCAACACCAGCTGCAAAGGTTTCATGTTACCTTGACTGGATGGATGACACTAAACAGGTACTCCATCTTACCTGACAGTGCCCCAGAGACTAGAGGAGGAAATGTGGGATTCTAGTTCTTCTTTGATAGAGGATACCCATATTTTAAGACTCATAACTCATGTTTCATCCATCCATCCATCCATTTATTTATTCATCCATTCATTCATCCATCCATCAGCCCATTCATTCATCTATTTATCCATACATCAATTCATTCATCCATCCATTAATGAATGAATGAATGAATGAATTCATTCAGTCTCCTTTTCTCTCTCTTTTTTTCAATTCCTTTCTATCCTGTGTAATCCGTTCAATATCATGGATGTAATCCAGTCCAGCACCTTTGACCTCTCTCATCAACATTCACTTTAAGGTTTCTCTTGGACGTCATTTTCCTCAATCCCTCAATTTCCAATTTCAGTGCCTGTTGTTGATTCTCTGCTCATCTCTTCTCAGAAATATACCCATTTGTTGATTCTCTGTTCATCTCTTCTTAGAATGCACCCATTGTAGAACCATCTTCTCTGTCTTATGACTCCTGATACCACTGGTTGTTTCAGACTGACATTTCTCATATTTCTTCACTCCACTTGAATTCATCCCTATGGCTCATTTAATTTGAGGTGGTAGTAAAAAAAAAAAAAAGACTAAAGCACACAGCTTTATGCATAAGAACAAATCTGACATTTTTACCCACCAGAAAAGAAGAGTGAGGTCCATGCCACCACCTTGTGGAAAGAGACATGTGAATCAAACGGGATGAACAAATTCAGCGGAGTGGATCTCAGGTATGTGATTGTGTTTCTACACATGGTCACCAGGAGGAAACTGAAAGATTGCAGCACAAACTGGCAAATCAACACATGTTCTATTTATAGCTTCAGTATGATAATTAACAGTTATTGCTGTTGCAATATTTATTTACCTTGAGCAGGAAAATGACAGAAATTTTTTTCCCTCTTGTCACTGAGTTTTTCAAGTCCATTTTCTTTTCACACCATGTCTTAAAAAAAAACCCACCCAACTGTCTATGCAGTAGCAGTAATTTAAACAAACAATATACTGTTCAACTAAAATGGGTTATGACTGGGATATATAGATTTCTTTTCTGTTTCAATAAATGGATAATTATGACTATCAATTTTGCTTGTTTATTTAGTGTTGCACAGCTTCAATTGTATACGACTGTAGAAGTAAAGATGATCAAATTCTATATATTTCAAATGTGCTTTCAAACAATTATAGAACTTATCTAATGAGATGCCTGAGAAAAGCTGTCAACTCAAGACAAAGTTAAAAATGATATTATCAGACAGACTGTTGGTACAACACTACGCAGCAAATTTACTGAGAAACAGAAGATCAAACAGGGAGCTATACATGAAAAAATCCGAAGTGAAAGTAAGAGGCCACCCTAGGAGAACGTGGATAGATGAGATTAGAGAGCTTCTACATCGACACGGAATGACACTAGCCATTGCTGCCCATCAAGCAATGGATCACAAACTGTTTCTCCCCACAACGCTTAATGGCAGAAGTGGAAATTAATGATGTTGATGATAGAACCTATCTTGTGTAGTTTATCTATGGAAAAAATTTAAAGTGATCAGAGAAACTATTATTTTGTCGCAAGATAAATTAACTGCCTATGTCTGATTTTTCTAATCCGTTGATCTCTATTGGAGTTGATGCTGAGCTGATGCTAGATGCCCATCTGTGGATCGGAAAGTCATGGCTTTAGGACCTGACAGAACCGGACTTAAAAAAAAAAGATCTTGACCCCCACATTGACCCAGCCTTAAATGGATACCTGATAAATTCCTGGGAAGTAAAGGTGGCTGGCATGTTGCTGACCATATCATCCACAAGGCAGCTGTTGTTAGGGCTCCTTTGGGAGAGAGTGAACAGTGAGGAGGCAAAGATAGATCATTACGGTCTGAGGACGATGTCGCTGTAAGGAATTACCAGGGGATCTCAAAACACTCAAAGGAAAGGTGAGACAGATATACAATCAGACAGTTACTGGTACCATCAGAATTGAAACTATTCGTTGACTGCTGTAGATGGGGATGGAGCGCCTATGGAAGTGTCTCGAGTACTGTGATGTTGATTCTTAATTCAACATTCAACATTATCCACCAAACACTGACTGGTCTATCAAATCTAGGTCTAGCCCTATATGCCCAATATGCCTGAAGGCTGGAACGGGTCCTTTACTTTACCTGTTGATGTTTCTGACATTGATTAAAACTAAAAAAATGAGAAAAGGAAATCATCACAAAATCAAGCTGACCTGAAGGTGAAAGACATGGAGGCAGCAGCACCTCTTGTCATGCTGATCCCATAGCTCATGAGTTTCCTAAAGCCAGCATTTTCTTGCTCAACGGTGTAATCTGTGTGTTGTGGAAAGGAAAATCTCCAACATTAGAAATACAAAAAAAGACTAGTGAGTTTTGAGATTATTTGTGATAATCTATAGCTTAAAAAAAAAAAAAAAACAACAGTATAAATATTCCGAGTAGGTTTTAATTCTTTGTTTAAAAAAATTAATAAATTATCACTTACATTTAAGAAACTGTAGGAAAATGCCCTTTTTATTTTGAAGTACTGCTTGAAATGTCACAGAGACGAATTAGATATAGTTTCCTGTCATGTGCTAGTTACCTAGCTTGTGCTAATATCATATTTGTGTTTCCGTAGTGTCTCTTTCATGCCCTTTGTCCAGATCTTTCTGGGCTTTTGCCTTATAGCCTGCTGTTCGCATGCAGTACATATTAACTGCTGACTGATTTTGACCCACTCTGACCAAAAGACCAAATTATTTGATTATCTGATGTTCTATGAAATCATTTATCAGTACTGTGCCTACCATTGTCCTTAGTTCTTCATTGGTGACTTTGTTATAGTTTTTCCCCACCGCATTTCTTATACATCTCGTCTCACATGCTGTAATTCTGCATTTATATTTTTCTATGATTGTCCATGTCTAGCACTGATAGCACAAAGTTGCTACATATATCACATTTATCAGCTACTTTTTTTTGTAAAAAAAAAAAGAAAATATTGAATATATATAAATATATATATGAAAACTAGGAAGGCTAACTAAGGCAACAAATGACAGATACAAAATAAGATGTATCAGCTGAAAGGCACAACTGCAGGGGATGACCTAATTTAAATGGCTGTATGGCTCGACAGAGTTTCTGGGTTTTGCTTCATTCCTGGGGTATTAATCCTATTGACGGCCATCCTGGCGGGTAAAAATGACTACACTAAAAGGTGTAAATGTCATAGCCATGCTGTAAATGTGCACAACATGATCACATCCTTGGAAGAGTTGAACCCCACTAGGACGAAACATTCAGCGATTAATACCTGGTGATGCAAAGCACAAAACGTCACTTTTTAAATGAGAACCTTCCCCCAGCTACAGAGGCCAGAAACCCGGTTCAACAGTAAGGTTATTTTGGGGCTCTAATGGTTACAGAGTAACATGAAGTTAGGACAGGGTAGGGCAGTGATAATATGTTCTCCTAGAAAGAAGTATGTAAATTTTACCCCAGTAAGACATCACACAAGCGATAAGCACCCAATGACACAAAGTGCCACCATACGGATGAGGAGAGGATCACCCGTGGAGAGGTCCCAGAAACCGCGTTCAGCCATTAGGCCATATTTATGGCTGGGCTATATTGCAGCCCCTGGCAGGAGCGGAAAAGGGGGGGGGGGGCTTCAAAACAACTAAAAACTGCATCCCACAAGGGGATGACGCATTATAGACAAGTAAAGACTTATGGTTATAGAGTAACATGAGGTCCAGACAGGGTAAGGTTCTAATAACAAGTGTATTCTCCTAGAAAGAATGCAGAAAAAGAAGATACATAAAGACAAATTTCAAGAATAAATATAAAGAATCCAGCATAAAGTACATATGTCAATTCAATCAAAAAAATTAAGAGAGAGAGAGAGAGAGAGAGAGAGAGAGAGAGAGAGAGAGAGAGAGAGAGAGAGAGAGAGAGAGAGAGAGAGAGAGAGAGAAGAGAGATAAGAGAGAGAGAGAGAGAGAATGTGCTTATGTGTGTGTGTCAGAGAGTGTTAAAGCCCTCAAGAAACAGAAACAAAACATATGGATAAAGGGACACAACTCAATATCTTTAAAAAAGTTGATTCTGAATACTCTACCCTTACAGATATAAGTAAGTACTATAAGCATAAATCAAATGGATGCTCACAGTAGAATCTCTCAGCAAACAAGCCCACACAGATTCCATAGAAGAGAACAATGAAGAAGATGTGGTGCCGATAGTTCTCAATGAAATGTTTCACCAGTTTGACCTTTGCCTTTACAGGAGTGTAGTGTTCACGCACAGCCTCAAACTTCTTCACAACGCTTGACTTGCCGCCATCCAGACCTGACAAGGAACCAGAGGATCCTCGCCGGCGCATGTCTGTGTCACTGACGGAAGAACAAATATCCAACATTTAACTAACCTATCAACTATCTGTCGGCACACGAACTGATACATGCTGCAAGAGATTGTGGATTAGGCAGAGGCATGATCGCCCACGCCAGTCGGCAAGGCACCTGACGATGATAATGATGATGATCAACAATCTGGCTTTCAGAATAATTTGTTTTAAAAAAATAGGCACCTGATGATGATAATGATGATGATCAACTATCTGGCTTTCAGAATAATTTGTTTTCAAAACCATCTAAACTATATGGTCGGTTTGTACCACATTTTTTAGGGTGGTGTAGACCGGGGGTCATGAGCATCAATATTTAGGGTGGCATGGCTAGTGCGGTCACCACAGACTGTGAAGGTCAGAATGTTTGAATTTGCCCCCTTCCACTCCCCAACAGAAAAACTCCATCAGCTTACAGGGAGGGGGTTTGAACCCAGGTCTCCCATATGAGAGCTTAATACTGAAACTGCTCAACCAGTCAATCTTCAAATAACAATCAACCCCCAATACAAATCAGAAACAGACAAAATATCCCCCCCACCCCCCTTTCCACCGAAAGTAAGTAGACTGGACTCTAGCCTTCTTCACAATAGCAAAAATAATATATAGTACATATTAAACAGTTTATTGGTAGCTGGAAATGGAAAAGAGTAGATTATACATGCTTCTCATGAGCACCTGCTCTGTCCTCACATGTACGTGGTCATGTTAAACCATCTTGCATGACCACCTGCTCTGTCCTTAAATGTACGTGGTCATGTTAAACCCTCTTGCACGATCACAAGAATCACAGATAAGGTCACTGCCCAATTCTCCCAGGTATTGTCTCTTTGTCTTCTCCCTTTTTCCATCAATCTTGCTGCTTGTAACCAAGTTTTTGAGTCCATTCTTTTTTATAAGATGTCTGAAAAACACAGGCTGTCTGTTTATCTAAATAAATAGTTTACAGTTCTGTTCTGTATCAACAAAAACTATCTTGTTTGTTTTTATGTCACTCCATGACAGGCTTCTTCTCATGATATATTTTAAAATATCACTGTGTGGGTTCTATACTTAGGGGTGGGGGGTTGTTAGATGTACTGCCCCACCTAATAAGCATTATTCCAAAAGTCAACAAATTGGGGGGGGGGGGGGGGTGGAAGAGGGTGTTCCTTTTAAGTGAAAGTGCATCTGCCTGAGAGGTGAAGAACCAACAGTCTGCATACAAATAAGCCAGATCTGTAAAGTGGATATGCATGCACAACTCAAATTAGGCACACACACACACACACACACACACACACACACACACACACACACACACACACACACAACTAAAGTGCAGAAGTGGACCAACAACCAAAACTTTCGCCTGGTGTTTACATCCAGCAAACATCAAGAAGAAGAATGAAAAAAATAAAAAATTAAAAACTCCTGTAAATAATATAAATAATACAATTTATTTATAAAATGTAATAAGTAATGTCTTCATCCCCCGTAGTGATAGTTCATCCATCAAATGATGTAACATTTACCTGCTGAGTGGGCCTGCTTTCTTGAGTGTCTTCACCTTGGACGGAATCACTTTTGGTATCCCTGCAAGCAAACAACATCTCTTTAACCCTTCTGCCTCATGATATTGTTATGGTAATAAAATAAGTCAATGTGTTTGTCTGCACTGTGTTGTCATGTGCCTGACACTCTTGACATCCTTAACAACAATACTGACAGGTTAGAAGACAACGGCATGGTTACTGTAATTTGTAACATGCTTTTAAGGTTTTCATTTGAAGACCACTTGTACATCCAGACACAAAGCACAATGTGAAACCATATAAATTATGTTTTGGTGATATAAACAATTACATGATTTGTTGAATGTTGTTGAATGTTGAATTAAAATCATCATCACAGCACTCAGGACACCCCCATAAGCGGTCTGTCCCCATCGTTAGCAGCAAGCAGAGCGTTAAATTTCCGATAGTACCAGTAACTGTCTGATTGTATATCAGTCTTGCCTTTTCCCTGAGTGTCGAAGTCGGCCAGATCCCCTTGTAACTCCTTGCAGTGCCATTCTCAGACCATAATGATCTACATGATATATAAATTTATAATGACAAATATACACCCTTAGAACTCAGTTAAAACTTTTATCCCAATTATAACCTTGAAGGTTGAACAGGATATTTAAAAAAAAAAAAAATTACCTCTACAATCTGAACTCCAGAACTTTCACAGAATTATGCAATTTTTTGGGTTCAACATCAGACAGACAGTCAGTCAGTCAGTCAGTCAGTCAGTCAGTCAGTCAGTCAGTCAGTCAGTCAGCCAGTCAGTCAGTCAGTCAGTCAGTCAGTCAGTCAGTCAGTCAGCATAACCTTCAGAGAACATCACTCTCTTCACGGCACACCTGAAAGTCTTTCCTTCTGTAGCCAACTCTCCAGCCCTGTGTGCTTTCTAAGCCAATGCATCTTCAGTGTCCTGTATCCACCTTCCCGGTGCTTCCCTTCTACTAATTTTTCCTGGAAACTGCAGACTCCATCATTGTTGAACATACTTGCATTTATTTGCAAGCTTCACTTCAAAGGTCCAGAGTAGTTACAATCCTTTGGATATTTTCTCCAGGGTATACAGGTGTGTTGGGAAATGAGCAGGCAGATAGACTGGGTGGTTCTGCACCACTTGGTGGTGAATTGATGTATGACAGACAAGCTGGATGTTGTGAGGGCTCTTTGGGAGCAAGTGAATAATGCCGAGGAGCAGATAGATCATTACGGTCTGAGGAGTATTACGCTGTGAGGAGTTACAAGGGAATCTGGCCGACGCTCAACACTCACGGGAAAGTCGAGACAGGTATACAATCAGAAAGTTACTGATACCATCAGTACTATAAGTCTTTGCTTGCTGCTGAAGATGGGGATGGAGGACTTATGAGGGTGTCCCGAGTGCTGCGATGTTGATTGTTAATTCACCATTCAACATTCTGCATTTATTGTTTACAAAAGGAATCTCTAGACAGAAATACTGACCCCGCCAATCAAAAGATGCATTCCACAACTTGTCCATCTGAGGCGAGAGAAGCTGGCAAAAGTCATCAAAAGAGTATTGTTCCTTGGGGCCAACACCGGACTGCTTGCACAATGACTGGACCAGCAGATCAACATCTCCATGAGTTAGGTCACTCTGAGCCAGTTCCAGCAATGACCTGAAATAAGGAGTTTATATGTACATACACTGGTATTGTCTGGATTTTTTCATCGGGTTACGCTGGTTTGTTGGGAAATGAACAGTAGGACAGACTAGCTGGCTCTGTACAACTTGGGGGAATACTGATACATTATAAGGCAGACGTGGTTAGTGCCTTGTGAAAGAGCATAAACAGTTCGGAGGAGCAGATGGATCACCACAGTCTGGTAAAGACTGATGCACGGAAGAGTGATGAGAGGTTCTAGCAGGTGCTCGAGGCTCAGAGAAAAGGCAAGACAGACGTTTAATCACAATGCTAATGGCAATATTAGTATCAAAACTCTTCACTGGCTGCTGAACCTGTGGACGGAGCACTTATGGGAATGCCCCAAGTGCTGTGATGTCGGTTCTTAAATCAGCTCAACTCAGCTCAATATGAACATAGCCATACATTCATGAATACATCTTCTTTTTTTTTTCTTCACTTCTTCTTTTACCGCTCTGTCAGTCTGCTTCTTGCTTTCCTGGCTGCCTCAGCCATAGACATATCATGCTACTTTAGAGTTTCTCGACAATTGTTATCTTTCCATCTTTTTCTTGGTTTGTCTCATACTCTACGTCCTTCTCCTCTTTTAGTGTATACCTTGTGTGGTATGGTATCATGAGGCATTCTCTCTAAATGGGCAAACCATTTGATTAGCGGCCTTTGTATGTAATTTAGAATTGATTTTGTGCCGACCTTTTCTCTTATGACCTCTTGCCTGATTTTTCACTTTAGGTGATTCCTGCAGCTCTTCTCTGACATCTCATTTCCATGGTTACTAATTTGTTTACTGGTTTATTGTGAGTGACCATGTCTGGCACTCGTAGCATAGAATGGGAATGAGTATGCTTTGTATGAGATGTTTCTTTGTGCTGGTCAGGACTGTCTTACATATACATATTTACATATTCACAAATGTCTATAGCTTACGTTTAACAAGTCAGACTTGGACTGCAACCAAAGAACATGAAATAAAACTAAATATGACATGAGATGCCTGGGTAGGGCAGCAAACAAAAGCATAAAAGACTGTGAGAAATTAAAAGATTAGAAAAACTACTGGAACAAAATTCTTAATTAAATTCATTGTGAAAAGCTCAATGGGTAATGTGGTCAGCAACATGCCAGACAACTTTACTTCCCAGGATGCATCTGATACATAAACATCTAGTTTGAGAATGGAGGTGGTCACTGCAGCCTTCTGCTGGCTTGAGGACTAGCTACACACACATGTCCTGATTGTAACCAGCTACACACACATGTCCTGATTGTAACCAGCTACACACACATGTCCTGATTGTAACCAGCTACACACACATGTCATGATTGTAACCAACTCACACAGCATTGTGAGAAAGGGGGAAATTGATATGCTGCATGCAGAGTGGCAAGCATCGCTTCCGCGGTCCTGGGAAGTTACCATCGGTTTGATATTTTCTTTAACGGATACCAGTGTGCTAGGAAATGAACATGCTGATAGATAGGCTGGTTCTTCACTAACTGGTGGTGAATTTATGCATGACAAAGTAGATGTTGTAAGGGCCCTGTGGGAGTGAGTAAACAGTGCGGAGGCACAAACAGAACATCATGGTCTGAAGAGACTGGTGCAGTGAGGAGTGACTGAAGATCTGGCTGACACTTAACACTCAGTCACGGAAGGGGTCAGATGGAAATACAATAAGAACTGTTACTGGCATCATTAGAATTGGAACTCTATGCTAGCTGCTGAAGACAGGTAGGAGCGTTTATGGAGGCATCCTGAGTGCATAATGATGATTCTAAGCTCATAACTACCCAGGATATAACCTGGGACTTATTTAAGACTGGCTTAACATGGGAACAAAGGTTAAAAAAAAATCTGCCTCAGTGTGGATTTGAACCCATGACCTTTAGACTGGCATGCCAGCATCTAGCTGCTATACTTTTATAGCTCCCAAAGAAGACCTTGAGGAAAAGCCAATTATACACCATATGTTGTCTGGGACCACAATAGTAAAGACATTCAATGAAGCATCAGACTAAACCAGATCTGGCTTATTAGTAGGCAGTCTAAATTATAAATTTACAACAAAATGTAAACAACTAAATTTACAAATTTAAAAAAAAAAAAAATTGACTACTAAAAATATTAAATTCACAAAATAGTATATTAAGGAGAAAGTTTTTTACCGAAACATTTGACCAATCTGCTTGATGCTCATGAATCCAGTGCCGTCAATATCATACATATAAAACATGGTTTGCAGTTTGTCTTGGATGGAGCCTGTTGGGACAATGAAACAATAACATATGAAAACCATAACAAGCACATTCTGATAACTCATCATGGATAACATCTGAGAGTCTGATTCTCAGTCAGCATCGCGGAAGGTTCCAGATGGATTAATGTGGCATAAGTGAATATCATGCATCAGTACGCCAACACTGCATGGAATCACGTGGATATACTGTCCAGGACATGCAGGAGTGCGAAGGAATGAAAGAGCAGATTTTCTGGCTACAAAAGCAAAAGCTATGGGAACACTTGTATTGGACAAGGGAGATATTCTGAAGATCATATATGAACGACTTTTTGGCAGAAGACATGAGATTAGATGAAATAACATGGACAAGAGTGTGTGAGCGAGGAATAAAGTATGGATCCGGGAAGGAGGGATGGATGAGAGGAAGAGATCGGCATGTGTCTAATCAGTGTGCTATGGGAACAGCATCTAAACCTTAACGCATTTGATGTGGGAGACGGAGCATCTATGGGTATGCCCGGTGTGCTATTATGTTGATTCTTAAATCAGTAAATCAGATAACATCTGAGAGATATTACATGAAGAGATTTCAGTTCTTCTTTACGCTCTCTTTTACCGCTTCGGGCGGCGAAGGAGATATAATGTTCTGGCTCTTGTGGATAAATCACTTGGTTGGTTTTAGAAACCTCACGGACAGATGCAAAGGAAGGATCAGCCTATCACAACAGGCATTATATACACTGATAATGCTATGCCAATGACAACAGACAAAGAGAAAGGGGAAGCACTTTGAAGAGATTTAAAGCCCAAACTGATCATAATAGGTAAATAGATTAGCTGGTTCTGCACCACTTGTTGGTGAATTGATGTATGACATTGCAAGGGCCCTTTGAGAGTGAGTGAACAGTGCTGAGGCACAAATAGATCATTATGGTCTGAGGAGAATGGCGCTGCAAGGAGTTATCAAGGGATCTGGCTGGCACTCAACACCCAAGGGAAGGGAGAGATAGATATACAATCAAACAGTTACCGGAACTGTTGGAATTGGAACTCTTCACTTGCTGCTGAAGATGGGGATGGAGTGCTTATTGGAGCATCCAGAGTGCTATGATATTCTTGATACAACATTCAACATTCTTGTGGCCACCTCAACCATGCACACACTGAACTGTTGTAGAGTTTTTCAGTTTTCAGATGTTACTTTTCAGTCTTGTTCTTGGTCTACCTCATGTTCTGCATCCCTCTCCTCTTCTGGTGTGTGCCTAGCGTGTGTATGTTGTTTCAAGGCATTCTCTATTAGCAAGCAAATCATTTTACTGATTGTCTTTGTCTATAATTTGGTACTGGTTCTGTGCCAACTTTTGTCTTATGATTTTCTCTCTTCTGGACAGAGCCCCACTTTGGAGGAAAAAGATGACACCCAAACCCCTCACCAAGAAGACTTAGAGCAGATATCACAGTTTAGATCTAAACACAATGGGCCAAGCATCATTTTAAGGGTAGACACAGAAGGACAAGAAGGAGGAGAAGATGAAAAAAGAAGGAGAAGAAGAAAAAGAAGAAGAAGAAGAAAAAGAAGAAGAAGAAGAAGAAGAAGAAGAAGAAGAAGAAGAAGAAAAGAAGAAGAAGAAGAAGAAGAAGAAGAAGAAGAAGAAGAAGAATGTCAATGAATTCGAATAAATACATTGTGGATGGTTTGGTAGCCAAAAAATTACTACTTCACACCCAAAGCAATCGCTGGTGACTAACCTTTAGAGAAAAGCACCACAGCATTTAGAAACTCCCTAAAGGAAATGTAGCCATTTCTGTCAGAATCAATAAGGCTGAAAAAGTGCTCCACAAAGTCTGAATTTGCTTTGACTGCCATAGCTTCTGCAAACTCTTCCTTGGACAGCTCAATCTATGGACATAAACAAATGATGATGCAGTGTTACAGCTAAAAAGATAAATATACAAGTAGTACTTCTGTCTTTCATCTACCAAATAATCATTACCATCATTATCCTCATCCTGTTGTTCCATTTTACATCACAAGCAATCAGGTGATCGTCGTTCCAACTTCACAGCAAACAGGTCATCTCATTATTGCTTCGTTCCTATAAACCACACAGAATGTCTATCACTGTCCCTTGTGAAAAAAGGGGCCTAAAAACATATGTATCAGGTTACTCACATGAAGACCCCTTGACCTCTATCATTGAGACTTACTGGAAAATTTGACATCAACTTGGTTTAAAAAAAAGGTATTTGGCACAAAGGAAAGCACCTTAAATGCAGTTTATAATTAAGATATTTATATACTGACCTTCTAGACATGAGAACAGTCAACAGCATTAACTATGCCTCTCATAAACAGGTCACTATATCATAATTGGAAAAGTGATTTTTACGTGGAATTAGACCCAATCAGAAGTGTTGGTTATGCAGCTCCTGGGGCATACAATTTCTTGTTATTATTTACTGCTTTCTTTATGGGCCCTTCAGCACCTGGACTATTAAGTGGCAGGACAAAAATGTTGACAACGGTGCTGAAATCCTGTGTTATAATTGTGGAAGACTTTTCTTAACACGGGCACGTCTTGCTAGTCACACTCGCCATCGCTCTGTCCTATGCCTCCTCCTAGCGCAATATAACACTATTGACTGGAAAGACGGAAAAGTGCCAGTTATTTTGTTTATAAATGAACTACTCTCCCTCCTTGTACATATGGTGGTTACTGAACTGGCCTGGAACTGGGTAACAGTGATGTCATTAATGCCACAGGAGGTGCATACCAAGAGGAAGATCACAACAACAAGAAGGCCTCAGTTTCCTTGTCCAGGCTGGTGGAAAAGGAAGTGCATTCTGAAGCAGCCAGACACAAACAATGTACTAAGGGCACAAGAAATTTGTTTAATCAACACAGAATGGGCTTGAACAGTCTTTTGATCCTTACGGAGCTAGTGAGAAGGAGATCAGAGCATATGGCCGGGGTACTGTGATGTTAGTCCTTATTAATTCCAACTGGTGTGCAGAGATGGGTGCTGTCAGCCACCCAGAAAACATGGCTGTTTATGGTGCTCTCTGGACAATAGGATTGTATGAGGTGACATCCAAAATTAAAATCAAAATTAATGATAGAAACATTAACAGAGAAAGCAAACGGAGGTACCACTTTCAAGTATGCTGTCTTTTAGTGATCCTGTGGTGGCAGATATGGCAAAATATCAAAAAAAGACTCAGTACACTTAAGATTATGGCAACAACAGATATGGGACAAAGAATGCAACTCATGCTGTTGTAAGGGCCATTGATGAGCAAGTGAACAGTGCAGAGGCACAAATCAGATCATCATGGTCTGAGGAGAATGGTGCAGCCAGAAGGGACCAAAGGATCAGGCCAACGCTCAATCCTAAGCCGAAAGGTAAGACAGACATACAATCAGACTGGTACTGGTATCATTGGAATTGGAACTCTGCACTTGATGCTGAAGATGGGGACCAAGTGCTTCCAAATAGTTTATGTGAATGTCCCTAGTCTTAGTTTGAGTTGAGGTTTCAACTTCACAGAAATTGGGTTTCCCTATACCTGCTCCATTCCTGTGCCAGTGAAAAATGAAATAAAATGTCCCCCGCTGTCGCATTTGAAAAACTGGTGAACAGACAGTCCAGGTACAATCCAGAAATATGTGCATGCAGTAAATGCATATGGCAGTTGCTAGAGGTGCCAAAGCCAACATTCACCACCAGAAATGCAGTTTGTCATTGATGAATGTAGTCGGGCATGATAAGTTTGCTACTATACGCATATCGAATTATTACATAAGGCAAAAGACAGTGAAATTCATACTAGAGTCAACACTGCAGATATAGATAATCCATTTCAAGCGAATGAAAGAAGAAGAAGAATTGCATAAGGTATTTCACTAGCTCACACGTAAACTGGCTACCAGCTATATTAAATACCACGACACAACCAATGCACAAATGAAAGGCATTTCACAAGAAAAACACAGCTCACAGTGCTGCACCAAACACTAAACTCAGTAGCTCAAGCAGCAAAACCGCAGACTACTGTCCGTATGTGGAAACTGCATTAGCAAAGCGCTGTCAACTTTTAACTTGTAACACATCATATAATCCTTTCACACCCGGCTCTCTAGCGAAGTTGGTTAAACCTGACTTTCGCGGCGGCCGGGTGACGAACTCCTTGTGGTCCGGGTTTACTCCCGGGGGTAGGCAGAAAAGCCACATTTCTCCCAGATTAACGGTACCTATAATGGAATCAATGCCGAAGGGTTGCGATATCCATAGTACCGAGCCAAAGAGTTTACAACTTACGGTTTCTGGATACGTTAAAAAAAAAAAATCCTTTCACAAACCTCGAGGATTTCTTGGCTATGTTTTTTCACATCCTGCAGCCCGCTGTCCAAGTTGGGATCATAGTCCATTTGGAAGGCCTGCAGGACAAGCAAGTGGACATTCATTGTAAAACTGAGGCAATACACAGGCTTTAGAATATGTCTACAATACATTAGAACTATGAATTAAAAAAAAATTTCAGACCAAAAATCTAATAGTACAGAGATGTAATAATATCTACTAACTTCTCCAGAATAATACCACATGGTTTAGTGTTTCGGCGTTTATACTTTCATTTTGTACAATCTCATTGCAGGCAACATTGGATTCAGTCTCAATACATGGCCAAACCATTTCAGTAAATATAATTACAAGTGTTGATCGAACAGCTCTTGCACTTTCTTCCTTTCTCACATGATCTTTTCTAGTTTTGCTCACGGCCTTTCTCAAACGTCCATTTCACAGGTAATTAATTTTCTTTCATCTTCTTTAGTCAGTGTCCACGTCTAACACTGATAAGTTATGAGTAATGAGTTAGATTATCTTCACAGCACTCTGCACACATCCATAGGCGCTCAGATTCCCCTCTCAACATATTCATCAGCGTCGTGCGGTTGATAGTACCAGTCCTATATTGGTTAACAAGACTTTGTGTGCGTCCAGTGTGCTTCTCATGCTTGGCTGTGCCGATCTTTACTCCCAATTCACATATTCTTAGAAGTGATGTTGACACGTTGCTTCCAAAATCCTCAGAATGTCCTATCTCTATAAGGGCAATGACAATGTCTGCATGATCCATGGGCCGGCTGATAACACCCTCATGACTGACGTTGTCAGCACCTCTTAGTGGTGAACTGAAGTATGACAAGCTGGATGTTGTGACGGCTCTTTGGGAGTGATTGAACTGTGCGGAGGCCCACAAAGATCATTACAGTCTGGGGAGTTACAAGGGGATCTGCCTGGTGCTCAATACTCAGGAAAAAGGTGAGACGGATATACAATCCGACAGTTATGGGTGCCATTGGCACTGGAACTCTTTGATTGCTGCTGAAGATGGGGATGGAGTGCTTATGGGGGTGTCCCGAGTGCTGTGATGTTGATTCTTAATTCAACATTCAACACTGAAGTTAGTAGCATCAGATGATTTAGAAGCATGTAAGGTAACATTCTTCATCTTCTTCATCCCCTCCTTACAATGGCTGTTAGCATGTTGACTTGTTGTTTACAGCTTAGTTGTGCAATATATCCTTGTCATTGAGAGTTAGAAAAAGAATTCTTGCTTGCTACATACATCCAGTTTTAACATATGGCTGTGAATCCTGGACAATCGGTAGGCAGGCCAACCAATTTCTTGAGACCTCAGAGATATGGTTTTACAGAAGAATGCTTAGAATACCTTGGACAGTCAAAAAGAGCAACCAAGAGGTTTTAAAAGAGACGGGAGCCCGAAGACAACTTATCACAGACATCAGAAGGAGACAGTCATCATTTTTCGGCCATGTTTTGAGAAGAGGGAAAACAGAACATGTTGTGACCACTGGAAAGATCTGTGGAAGGAGGGATATGGGAAGACAACGAGAGAAGATTCTTGACAGACTTGTTGCATGGCATGTGTCGGCACATAAACTGATAGGAGATCGTGGATTATGGAGAGGCATGATCGCCCACACCAGTCAGCAAGGAACCTGAAGATGATGATGTACCCTCTGTTTTCAGGACAGAGTGCTGTGTATGAGCCAGTTTTACTCATTGGTCAGATTTAGGATGTCAGTGTTTTATTTGTCTTCTTAGTCCATTGTTTTCTTTTCATGATATTTTTTTTTCATGCTTGTTAGGGGTGGATACCACCCCCTCCCCCCTCCCTCAAACCACCAATGGGACCCCAGAAAAAACAAAGGAAGTAGGCAGAAATGATGTGGGATGATCAAAAACTATGGGATAGAGGCTATCATAGATGTAATTGATCCAAGAACACCAATAATTGAGATCTGCAGATCCCCCCCCCCTCTCCCCGCGGTGTAGTGGCCAGACACCACATGCAGATCCGAAGGTCATGACTTCCAATCTTAATGGTGCCTGACTTTAACAAAAAATGACCTTAACTCTCAGGTTTACCCAGCCTTAAATGGGTACCAGCTAAAAATCCTGGGAAGGAAAGGTAGCCGCAGTTGACCCCATCACCAACCAAGTGCTAACAGGTCTATGACATATAGGTCTACCCCCAAATGCCCAATGAGCCTGAAAATGTCTTTCAGACAAGGCCCATAATGCTGATACAAAATCAGTGTTTCAAAAACTTGTCAAAAATTACCTCCGTGAACACTGTCTTAAAGAACTTCTCCAGCATCTTGTTCCTCTTCTCCTTGGTGGTGGCAGCACTGTAGAGGTCATGCAGCTTCAGCTCGATCACTGAGATATCTACATTATGGTTCTGGACAAACTGGCACAGCATCGACACAAAATCACTTCTGAGTGCCTCTGTTCGGAACTCTACAACCTGCAGACACAACATTTTGTAACCTAGCAACAAGAACATCTGCTATGTTCATACATCATTGCAAATGGCACCTTTTTAATTTGTTTACATTAAAAAAAATTAATTAAAGTTTCAATTTTAGGAAATGTTTTATCATGCACCAGGGGCAGCATTATAGAAACTGGTACCAGATAATTTGAACAAAAAAGATCCAAACAAAAGACTGCAAATTTTATTGCCTGGTATATTTCACTGTATCTCACCAGATGCATACTATAGCAGCAATTGGTTAAAATTAGGGCTGTACCGAATAGTGATTTTCACTATTCGGCCGAATACGAATAGCTGAACCAACTATTCGGCCAAATACGAATACGAATAGTGAATCATCATCATCATGTGCTTTGCCGGCTGGCATGGGCGATTATGCCTCGCCACAATCTGCGATCTCCTGCAGCACGTATTAGTTCGTGTGCTGACACACCTCCATGGAAAACCTTCGTTCCATGTTGTCAGCATTAGGCCAGCTTTTTGGTCTCACTGAAGGTATTTCCAGCTGTACTAAACAGGAAAATACGACAAATACAGAGAGTCAAAATGAAAACCCGCAAGGCGAAACATCAAAAACAAAAATAATGCTGACGAAGAAAACAATGCCGTCCTTACAAGTCGTCCTGCCCCCCGCGAGCTCACGAAACCAGACGCCGGGCGGCCAACGCCAGAAGATCAAACAACAAATACAATCAAGAAACCGAACGTCGATCAAAACATTCAGCCGGTGCCGTTTCCACGAGACGACGAAAGAACAGATACGACATCCATAAATGATGATGAACTCCCGTTACTTCAAAGAATCGACAAAGAGGACACTCCACTCAAAGAAATCAAGCCGACAACACTACTCGCAACACATGCAAGATGGAAATAAAGGGGCACTTGGTACGCTCATAGGTGGTGCACAAAGATAACGCTTCACAGTAAAAACCAAGGTGGGAAGTCTTGATGTTTTTTTTCCACCAGTCCAGAAACGGTTGTGAGGTAACCACTATTCGTATTCGGCCCGACCGCAACTATTCGGCCGAATATCGAATAGTTATTTGGTCCACTATTCAGCCCCGAAGCGAATACAAAGCGAATATATTGAGAAGAAGCATCGGAATCAGTAGAGAAAGAAGATTATTATGGCCTGGAGAGAATGAGGCACCTGTGTGTAACAAGAGGGTCTGGCCAGCTTACTACAGTACTACACTAAGAGGAAAGGCAAGATGGACTTTTAACCAGACTGTGACCGGTACCATCAGTATTGGAACTCTGTGCTGGCTGCTAAAGATGAGGACGGAGCATGCATGGGAATACCCCAAGTGCTGTGAGGTCAATTCTTACTCAACTCAACTGGAATATGTGACTCTGATAATGTGCAATGACAATAATTCTTCACAAACAAAAAATCAGATTGATTTATAGAAGCTTACCAAGTCATACTCTCTTGGCAAAATGAGTGCCATGACATTCCTCTTCTTGTTGGAGCTAATCTTGACTCCAATGTTTGACAATGAGCTTATCTTGATTGACCTACATAAATCAAAAATAGAAAACTAAAATAACAAAAACATATCCAATATTTCATTTGGGTCAACAATTTGTGTCTCCTTCTTATTCTTCCCATCATGTTTTTATCTACTGTAGCCCTTTCCTTTATGATTTCTGTTCTATTTCTTTCCATAACAGCTCTTCCTGTTATTATGAATAGCTTTTGGATGAATCGTATAGGATTGTAGGAGTATAGATTGTAGGAGTATAGATTGCAGGAGTATAGATTGTAGGAGTATAGATTGTAGGAGTATAGATTGTAGGAGTATAGATTGTAGGAGTATAGATTGTAGAGTTCAATATATTTAGTGTTCTTTCAAACAATTCTAGCAATTATATTGTATAATCTACCTTTGCGAATATTTAAAGTGATCTGGGATAGCCTTATTCTGTCTTAAGATATATTAAAATCTCATTCTTAACCCTGTTTTTATGATTAAGGATTTAAAATAATTTAGAACTATGTAACTTTTGGTAGGAGCTGATTTTCACCCCAAAGTTAGAAAAGAACTGTTTTCATTCTTCAGCATAAATGAGTTTTAAAAAAAACTCCAAACTGAGACTATGTGCATGCAAGTCATTTATCCCATCAAGCTCATGCTAATTCTCAGGCTCAAAAGCCTCATAATGCATATAGCTACAAGCAGTAATAACAGAAAATGGTGGCCGAAATGGAGAATTAGGCATGGCAGAATGTTTAGCTTCAAAGTTATGTTTGCTTCTGACAACGCTTTGCTAATGAAGTTTTCACATAAGGACAGTAGTCAACGGTTTCATTGCCTGAGTTTAGTGCTTGGTTACAGCCTTGCTAGCTGTATATTTCCTGTGGAATGCCTTTCATTTGTGCAGCAGTTGTGTAGTGGCCTGTAGTTGGTTTACCCATGAGTTGGTGAAATACCATATGTAATTATTCTATGTGCATATAGTAACCAACTTATCATTGGTTACTACTTCCATCAATGATAAACCGAATTTCTGGTGGCGATTGTTGGCTTTGGCATCTCTAACAACTGAAATATGCATTTACTGCATGCACATATTTCTGGATTGTTCCAGGACTAGTTGTTTGTTCACCAGTTTTTCAAATGAGGCAGTGAGGGACATTTCATTTGATTCGCACTGGCACAGGGATGGAGCAAGTATGGGGAAACCTGTCTGCAATGATGTTGAAACCTCGACTAAGACTAAGTAATGACAGTGGCAGTATTTTAAGATCAACATATTTCCTATTTCCCTCACCTAAGATGAGTTCCTGTTGTGGCAAAAATCTCCAGACAGCCTTTGGTGGTCAGGTGTAGCTCAATGGGTCGGCCAGGAAGATGAGGTCCTCTCCATTCCACCCCATCATGGACTGAAATTAATAATCTCTGAGATTATTTGCTTTCAAAAAATGTCAGTTCATGTAAAATAATGGGTTGAGCACCATATACCCAAAAAGCCACTGGCAGAAAAAAGGTTTTTTACTGCATGAAGTTCATTTCATTTATTCACTATTACAATCTGCTTTTGACGTTGGACATTTTTTGTAACCCTTTCACCCTGGTGACCACCCCAAAAAAATGCCCATGATCTGCAATCAGGGAATTCCGCAAACTCCTGAGATGCATGAGGAAAGACACCAAATAAATCATCCAAGAGGAAGTGAGAAATGTCACTATTAGACAGTTTGTAGGAACAACACCATGTGCCAAATTCATTGAGACAAATAAGATCAAATGGTTTGGTCAGATAGTAAGAATGCAGCCAGAACAACTTCCAATGCAGGTAATACACATGAACAGATCTGATTTGAAAGCAAGAGGTTACCAAGGAGAAGACGGACTGATGATATTAAAGAGCTTCTACATTGACACAGAATGAAAATATCCATTGCTGTCCATCAAGCAAGGGATTGTAAACTGTTTCTCCCAGTGATACTCAAAGGCAAAAGAGAAAATTGAAGATGATGGTGATGAATGTGTGGTAAAGGTAAAGGACTCTTTTTATGCCTGTATCACATCAGGCATATTTTTTCCTTCACCTTCACATTCACCGGCTGTAAACTCCTGTAGAAAATTTAGCTTGCTCGTCCACTTCTGGACTCTAGTCCTGTCCCAGAAATTAAGTATTATGTGCACATCCGTTTCACAGGTCTAACTAATTTGCATGCAGACTATTGGCTTCATGCCTCTCAGGCAGATGGTCTCCAACTTCGGAGGCAGCGGGTTTATTCTTGTTTTCCCCACAATGGGGCCCCGGAAACCACATGCGGGTATCAGATATATGATGCTAGAATCATATTTTTTATAGACCAATCAGGAGTCGGGGGATGATGTGGTCAAAATCTTGCCAGCCATCTTGACTTGCCAGGCCATCACCTGGTATCTATTTTAACCGAGGCTGACTAGAAGTCATTGTCAATTCCGAAGAAAAAAAAAATGGCTCATCATGTGAGACAGCGAATCAGGGCTGCCTGTGATGACGATAAAGATCAGACAGACAGACAGATAAGCATTTTCTGAACTAGAACTAAACTCCACAGACTAGAGATGTACAATGAAGAACAAAATAGTCTCACCAGAAACACTACAGGACAGAGATCGTCGGAAATTTCTCCTCTTCTCTTGCTCAGCCTTGAGGGCTCGAACTCGTCTCTCATGTCGCCACTTCTTACATTTGGCCAGGATATAAGCAGCCAGAATACACACTGAAGGAAAAAAATGTGTAGAATTATAAACATTCATTCAACTTAACTCTTTGAGTCCCAGGGGACGCATCATACGTTGATAGGTTCCTACCTGGAAGCCCAAAGAACGCATGATGTGTTGATTTTAGTCCCTCTTTACTACCCATTGGGCCTGTGATGCTAAATCCCCTGGGACTCAAAGAGTTAATTACTAAATCAGTGTGTGCGGATGGGACATAATTTATGTTAAGACTTTAAATAGAATTAAACTAATGTATACTATATACTACGGGCGTCACCATGGTGTAGTGGCTAGACACTTGCCTGTGGACTGGAAGGTCAAAGGTTCAAGTCCTGATGGAGCTGGACGTTTTAATTTTTTTTTAAATAAATGACCTTGGCTCCCAGGTTGACCCAGCCTTGAATGGGTACCTGGTGTAGTCCTACTAGTAAACAAATCCGGTGAATTAGGAGGTGATGAAAAAATTGTATATTGATATACGGATGTGAATCATGGACAGTTGGTAAATTAGTGCAAAATTATTTGGAAGCTGTGGAGATGTGGTTTAATAGACGAATGATGATAATACCCTGGACAGATAACAAGAGTAATGAAGACGTCTTGAAAGAAACTGGTTCATGAAGAGAACTGATTGCCCATTTAAGAAAAAAGACAATCTACATTCTTTGGTCATGTGGTGAGAAGGAGAAAACTGGAGTACATTGTGACGGTAGTAAAGCTGGAGGAGATGAGAGGCAGAAGGAGACTGAGAGAAAAGATGCTGGATGGTCTGACATCATGGCATGGAGAATCATCTGTGTCAGAGTTGACTGAAAGTACACGAGACAGAAGGTTGTGGATAGACATGACTACCAACACCACACGGCATAAACTTTACAAAGAAGAAGAAAACATTCTAGCACTGGATGTATACTGAGGAACAAAACTGTTGTTAACCCCAAAACTAAAATTCAAGGGGAATGTAAATGAGCAAGGCAGTTATCTCTGAAATATTCAACTAGCTGACATTTGATATTAGGATGAGCTGAATTTCTCCTCCCCTCACTGTGGCTTACAGCCTCCAGTGTGACGGAGCTTGCCAAGAAACAAATAATGGGGTCTTCTGTGTCTGAGAATTTGGGGATTCAGGGTTGCATGGCTCGAACTATTCACCTTGAACTATGCAGGTTATAGTTTTTTATTGTAAAAGCGAGAGAAATAAATTTCCAGTATTTTATCAAGGATTAAAATTACAGAAAATTACAAGTGCTCTAATCACTCTACCAGCTACTTCTCTCATGAGAAATAACATACTAGCAGTTCTGCACCACTTGGTGGTAAACTGATTTAGTAATTGCCTTAGCTGTTCTCCATGTTTCCGCTCCATACAACAGTAATGATTTGACATTAGAATTAAAAACTTTTAGTTTAGTATTAGTTTTAATTTCTTTGGACCTCCACAAATTCCCTAGTGCTATGAAAGCTCCTCTTGCCTTTTGTATTCTTATTTTAATATCTCTATCAGTTCCCCCATCTTCATCTACATTACAGCCTAAATAGGTGCTCGACTCCACGTCTGGGAGTGAGGTGCCATTAAGAGTTCATCCTTATTCATGTTAATCATCTCATTTAATTTGGATTCTCTGGTACCTTGCTGTGTCAAGATGAAGCATAATTTATGGGAAAGTGTCAGTTTGTGCGCTTCGAAAATTGGGATTCCCAGGGACACAGTTATTCCATCAGTCCCTCGTGTGTGTGGTCAGCCTCTTTTTCACTTCCCGCCTGGACTGTACATCAATGTTCGCTGACATCCACAATGTATGGCCAAAACATTTCACTTGTTGTCTTTTAACTAAATCCAGAGCTGCCGTTAACCCCATTCTCCTATGAATTTCATCATCATTAACGTTAATGAATACTAAAAATAATTACATTAAACAGAACAAGCAAAAATGAAACAATTTTAATGGCGACTCACATAAGGGAAGTAATCCAAGACATGTCCAAATAATGATGTAAGGGATTTCACTCCCATGAAAGTAATCATATCCATGATGCTTGTCGCAAGGTTCAAGGACTGATTCATTGAATATCATTCTGTGACCACAAGGCGACTCTGTTTAAAAAAGAAAATGAAAGAAATTGTATATATGATAGATGTCTATATTGTAATAGTAGTAGTAATTTTTCAAAAATATCTGGTTTAACCCTCAGGGTTATAATTGGGACATACAGTATTCATTAGGATTTGGGTTATGATTATGACAGAATACTATGAATAATTACACAATTTTACTTACATTGTGTTTGTTTAACTGTGTAATACAAGTTATATATTGTAAGGGTCCTTTGGGAGCGAATAAACAGTACAGAGGCGCAGACAGATCATTACGGTCTGAGGAGAATGGCGCTGCGAGGAGTTACCAGGGCATCTGGCCAGCGCTCAACACTCAGGGGAAGGATGAGACAGATATACAATCAGACGGTTACTGGTACCATGGGAACTGGAACTCTTCGCTTGCTGCTGAATATGGGGACTGAGCACTTATGGGAGTGTCCTGAGTGCTATGATGTCGATTCTTAATTCAACATTCAATTGTGTAATGACTGAGCAATATTATTTTTCAGTTTTCATTTGTTTACGGCTCTTTTACAACATATTTGTTTACATCTGTGAAACAACAACTGTACAAAAATATCAACTGCATTGAGAGAAAGAGTGTTAATGTGCTATGTAGAACCTGTGTTGTATGTGTGTGAGACATGGACAATTAGCAGCCAAGCTGAAAAACATTAACTGGCAGCGGAGATGTGGCTTGTGAGAAGAATACAAAGAAACAGACGAGGCAGTCTTTATTTTTGAGACAGATGAAATCCATAAAAAAAAGATTTGAGAAAAAGATGTGGACAGCCGGTGTTTCGGACATGCTATAAGAAGTAAGGAACTCGAGAACTTAGTGACAACTGCCAAAAGTGAGAGAAGATTGATTTGATTTGATTCAAGAACTGACAACACAGCAGTGCATTTTCCATTTATTTTGGAGCAAAAAAGAACACAAATAGGATAAGTGTTTGTTAAATAGTTGTGAAGCTATGACATTTTTAGTACACTAAAATGTGTGGTATCTGGGAATGTGCAAGGGTTAATTAAACGGCCTGGTAGTCAGTGAGTTAAAACTGTCTGTATGTCTGTATGTTACATTTATCTGTAGACTCACTGTCTGTCTGTCTGTCTGTCTGTCTGTCTGTCTGTCTGTGGCATTTATCTGTAGACTCACTGTCTGTCTGTCGCATTTATCTGTAGACTCACTGTCTGTCTGTCTGTCTGTTGCATTTATCTGTAGACTCACTGTCTGTCTGTCTGTCGCATTTATCTGTAGACTCACTGTCTGTCTGTCTGTCTGTTGCATTTATCTGTAGACTCACTGTCTGTCTGTCTGTCTGTCTGTTGCATTTATCTGTAGACTCACTGTCTGTCTGTCTGTCTGTCTGTTGCATTTATCTGTAGACTCACTGTCTGTCTGTCTGTCTGTCTGTTGCATTTATCTGTAGACTCACTGTCTGTCTGTCTGTCTGTTGCATTTATCTGTAGACTCACTGTCTGTCTGTCTGTCTGTCTGTTGCATTTATCTGTAGACTCACTGTCTGTCTGTCTGTCTGTTGCATTTATCTGTAGACTCACTGTCTGTCTGTCTGTCTGTTGCATTTATCTGTAGACTCACTGTCTGTCTGTATGTCTGTCTGTTACATTCATCTGTAGACTCACTGTCTGTCTGTCTGTCTGTTGCATTTATCTGTAGACTCACTGTCTGTCTGTCTGTCGCATTTATCTGTAGACTCACTGTCTGTCTGTCTGTCTGTCTGTTGCATTTATCTGTAGACTCACTGTCTGTGAGAGTAAAGACATCATCCTGTACGTCCAACATATCAATCCCAGCTGTACGGAAGATGTCGGCAAGGCTGGTGTTGAAGAGCCGCTGCACTTCCTCAGGAGAAAATAACCTGGGCGGACACAGAATTATGTTTGTTATTACTGTGATGTGTATTGGATGTGGAGGGAACAGCTTCACAATAACACTGAAATGATTTAACCAGAGACTTTATCAATAGACAAAACAGCAGAATCTTAAAAAATGTCTCAGCCACACAGAAACAGAAATGTTAAAAAAAAAAAATCAGAAAAAACAATTTCAACCCTCTGAGTCCAGAAACACTAAAAAAAAAAAAAAAAAAAAAAAAAAAAATAGGTTGTGACCCCACTGGAATTCCAGAAAAAAACCCTTGCCCCCCCGAAATATAACAATTTTACACAGGTCACTAAAAAAATTCCTCAAAAATGTATTTATCTACATTTGTTACTTTTTTCTCCTGAAATCTTTAAAGATGCACAAAAAGAGTCATCGATAAACACAAACAGGGTGAAGCATTAAATTAAATTAAAATCTCAGGACCTAAAGAGTTACATGTATTGGGTGATTCATGCCATGTAAAGACAGTTTGGGTGATTCATGCCATGTAAAGACAGTTTGGGTGATTCATGCCATGTAAAGACAGTTTGGGTGATTCATGCCATGTAAAGACAGTTTGGGTGATTCATGCCATGTAAAGACAGTTTGGGTGATTCATGCCATGTAAAGACAGTTTGGGTGATTCATGCCATGTAAAGACAGTTTGGGTGATTCATGCCATGTAAAGACAGTTTGGGTGATTCATGCCATGTAAAGACAGTTTGGGTGATTCATGCCATGTAAAGACAGTTTGGGTGATTCATGCCATGTAAAGACAGTTTGGGTGATTCATGCCATGTAAAGACATTTTGGGTGATTCATGCCATGTAAAGACAGTTTGGGTGATTCATGCCATGTAAAGACAGTTTGGGTGATTCATGCCATGTAAAGACAGTTTGGGTGATTCATGCCATGTAAAGACAGTTTGGGTGATTCATGCCATGTAAAGACAGTTTGGGTGATTCATGCCATGTAAAGACAGTTTGGGTGACTCCTGCCATGTAAAGACAGTTTGGGTGATTCATGCCATGTAAAGACAGTTTGGGTGATTCATGCCATGTAAAGACAGTTTGGGTGATTCATGCCATGTAAAGACAGTTTGGGTGATTCATGCCATGTAAAGACAGTTTGGGTGATTCATGCCATGTAAAGACAGTTTGGGTGATTCATGCCATGTAAAGACAGTTTGGGTGACTCCTGCCATGTAAAGACAGTTTGGGTGACTCCTGCCATGTAAAGACAGTTTGGGTGATTCATGCCATGTAAAGACAGTTTGGGTGACTCCTGCCATGTAAAGACAGTTTGGGTGATTCATGCCATGTAAAGACAGTTTGGGTGACTCCTGCCATGTAAAGACAGTTTGGGTGATTCATGCCATGTAAAGACAGTTTGGGTGACTCCTGCCATGTAAAGACAGTTTGGGTGACTCCTGCCATGTAAAGACAGTTTGGGTGATTCATGCCATGTAAAGACAGTTTGGGTGATTCATGCCATGTAAAGACAGTTTGGGTGATTCATGCCATGTAAAGACAGTTTGGGTGACTCCTGCCATGTAAAGACAGTTTGGGTGATTCATGCCATGTAAAGACAGTTTGGGTGACTCCTGCCATGTAAAGACAGTTTGGGTGATTCATGCCATGTAAAGACAGTTTGGGTGACTCCTGCCATGTAAAGACAGTTTGGGTGACTCCTGCCATGTAAAGACAGTTTGGGTGATTCATGCCATGTAAAGACAGTTTGGGTGACTCCTGCCATGTAAAGACAGTTTGGGTGATTCATGCCATGTAAAGACAGTTTGGGTGATTCATGCCATGTAAAGACAGTTTGGGTGATTCATGCCATGTAAAGACAGTTTGGGTGATTCATGCCATGTAAAGACAGTTTGGGTGACTCCTGCCATGTAAAGACAGTTTGGGTGATTCATGCCATGTAAAGACAGTTTGGGTGATTCATGCCATGTAAAGACAGTTTGGGTGACTCCTGCCATGTAAAGACAGTTTGGGTGATTCATGCCATGTAAAGACAGTTTGGGTGATTCATGCCATGTAAAGACAGTTTGGGTGATTCATGCCATGTAAAGACAGTTTGGGTGATTCATGCCATGTAAAGACAGTTTGGGTGATTCATGCCATGTAAAGACAGTTTGGGTGATTCATGCCATGTAAAGACAGTTTGGGTGATTCATGCCATGTAAAGACAGTTTGGGTGATTCATGCCATGTAAAGACAGTTTTCCAAATTTGTAATCAAAATTATGTATGACCTGCTTTTAATCAATATTTAACCCCAAAAAATGTAATTTCAAAAAAGAATAGAAAACATACCCATTGGCAGTGTTCTCAAACCAAAATCTGTCACCATCGCGCAGACGGATGAACTGGTCATACAGAATATGGGTGAAGAGTTCACCTGGCCCATCTGGGGTCGACTCCATCATACCACCAACAAACATGTCGACAGTTGACATGTTTCCCATGTGTAGGATCTTAAAGGCATTGATGAGCTAAAGAATATAACGTAAGCATGCATGTTCTTTGTAATTAATATCATCATCATCATATACTATGTCGACAAGGATAGGCGTTCATGTTTAAACATCCACACTCCATGTACTCCCATTGTGAATTCTACAGCCCCATTGTGGGGATAACAAGAGCAGATCCACTGCCTCCCCAACAAACATGTCGTAAGAGTCGACTAATTGGGGGCTACCTTTAAAGTCAGACTACAGCTGCCTGAGCGGCAAGAAACAACCAACTGCATTCAAATAAGCCAGTGAAACAGATGTACATGCAAAACTCAGGCCCTGGCACAAAGCCAAAATGCACAAACAACCAGGACTTTCTGCTAGAGCTTACAGGCAGTGAACAAAGAAGAAGAAAAAGAAGAAGAAGAAGAAGATTTACCTATCACACTGTAAGCATTTGTCTGTTAAATTAATGTTCAAGAGTTTGACTCTCTCACTACATACAATCACCAGAAGCATTCATCTGGATAAGTCATCCAGGTATGTATCTTTTTGTTTTTTGCTTCCGTTCTCTTTTCATCAATCTTGCCAGTTATGCCCAAGTTCTCAGGACCACTCCTTCTCTTAATGTCTGAAAAACACCCACTACATATGTGTTGAGTTTTTTTTCCTAATCAGTGTAAGGTTTATTTTAAATTTCAAGGAAGACTGCATCTCTTTTATTTTTGCTTGCTGTAAAGATGGTGATCATTAACTCACTGATTTGTCCCCTCCTATCCAGGCTACTTCCTAAATGTCTTACACCACTGTGACTCAAAGAGTTACAAATGGATGTTAAATCAACAGGGAAAACCATCATACCACTTTCAACCTCCAAAGAACTGACAGCTACACCAAGCACTACTCTGATATGTCTTTCTTTGTTTGTTTGTTTGTTTGTTGGGTTCTCAGGTCAGTTCCAGCAAATCTCAGCCATGCAAGCATTGATTTAGTGTATCTTAATGATTTTAGAGCTGGATACTGCACACTTAGTCAATAAGGCCAAAAAAAAAAATGGTCTGAATTTTGAGTTTGCTTGTGGTCTGCTTTATTTTGTAGTTTGAGGATGTTACCTTTTCACCATACTGTGCTTCAGGCTTGTATCCATAAAGATACACTGATTGCTAATTTAAATTATTTTAAAGATAGGCAGTTAGCAAATAATAACATAACAATTGTGTCACTAGCTACACATCAAAGATACAGGACAAACAAGAGACATGAATATATTGGGTACAGACATAACAACAGAGAGGAAAAGGATTCTGATAAGCTTATGTGAAGATACAATGTATGGAATCACCTTGAACTGGGTCAAATGAGACAAGAAGAAGAAGAAGAAGAAGAAGAAAAAATGCCAGCCTATGTGTCTGGAGGCTTCCTGAGAATGGAATAAAGAAGAAGTGAGATAACGAATTAGGTAAGAAGTTAGATAAGGAGCTATAAAAGGAGTTAGATAAGGATTTATATAAGAATTTAGATAAGGAGCTATATAAGAAGCTAGATAAGAAGTTAAAGAATTGAGGAGAAGATGCCTTGAGGAAAAAAGAGAAGTAGCAGCAGCTAGAAAAACAGGGGGAGAAGGAAGGAGAAGAAAATTAAAAAGAAGAAGAAGAAGACATGATGAAAGCAGAAAAGATATCCACTCTTCAGCATCTACTGACAGGTGAAAGAAATCATCATCAATACTGTGTTTTCACTGTTGGTCAGATACAAATTCACAACACATTCTAATCACCTCTGGGTTGGTTTGATTCAGCCAAGGATTGACATCTTCGAAGCTGATCTTCTCCTTCAGTCCCATGGTAACTCTGACGGTATTGTAGTCAGGCAGGCCATAGTCCCGACCCTTCATGATGGTCAACAGCACTACATCGTGTTTGGAATGGTACAGAGGACCATAGAACTTACCTGGCATGTGAAATTTGTTATTTTAAGTTTTTTTTTGAAAACTGTGAGGTGGAAGATGAAGAGTAATTAGTGATGACTATCATCAGCACACTTTGGACAAATCTATAAGAAGAAGAGTATGTATAAGTGAGAAATAAGCTCTAGGAAAAAAACAAAAAACCAGCAGCAGGAAGAAGGAAGAGGAAGAAATTCAAGGAAACAGGTGCAGAAGAAAAAAAAATTAAGCAGTTAGTTGCATATCTCTGTAAATCCCTTTGTCCACTTGAAGAGAATGCCTTGTGTTGCCACACCATACAAGCCATACACTAAAAAAGAAGAGGAACAAGAAACATGAGGTAGACCAAGAACAAGATGGAAAGATAATATCAGAGAAACTCTACAATAGCACAATGCATCTATGGGCGAGGTGGTGAGAAAAGCTAGAGACAGAATCTTATTTCTCCCTCAACATCCAAAGTGGTTTAAAAAAAAAGGAAGTGAAAAAGATGCAAAAAAATATTTCGCTGTACCTCATCAGGTACATACTGCAGAGTTGACCTCAACAGATTCTGAAGCACAAAAATAAATCCTTTTAATTAAAATTCACTCACAAATTGTGAATTTCAAGGCCTGTGTTGGGAAAATTAAAAAAAACAAAAACAACAACACCCACAAGCATGTCCTACAAGGTGACTGATTAGAATTGTTTCCTTCAAAGTAAGTTGGAGTGCAGCTGTATGCGAGGTGAGAAAATAACAGTCTGCATACAAATTAGCCAGATCTGTAACATTTATGTGCACTCAAAACTCAAGTTCTGGAACTAGAATGAAGTCCAGAATTGGATGAGCTTCTAGAACTTTCCACCGGAATTTACAGCTAGTTTGTACCTTCCACTGTGATGGAAAGATTCTTAGAATATCATGGACAAAAATAATAAAAAATACTGACATCCTAAAATATCTGGACAGACCTTGTCTTGGCAACTCAGATATTTTGGCCATAAAAAGCACCACAGCAAATTGGAAAGAATAGCAGCAGAAGGCAAGGTACAAAGAAAGAGGGGCAGGGGGTGAGCAGCACTTAGATGTGCAGAAGATAGAAGAGACACCTTGGGTAGGAGGGTGCATGAAGTGAGACAGCTAGGGAGAGACTGAGCTCCTGTCAGGCAGGCTGTGCAAAAAGACCTGCTACAGGCAATGACCTGTTATATTCATAAATGTGCAAATTTGTCTGCTTAACTTTTATAAACAATAAAAACCAAAAGCTGTAGTCACAAACAGAAACAAACTTACTTCGGTAATCCTCAACAATATAAGTGTCAGAGCTTTCTGCGTATTGTGCAGACAGACCTTTGAGGATCTCCAAAGTACCAGACTCGTGTCTGTACAGTACATCCTTGGAGACAGAAAGGTAACAGAAGTTTTGTGATAGTATTGCTTAAGGGGTGTCAGGTGACAAGACTTCACATATATTATTTATATTCTGCCTTGGAGACACAGGAAGGTAACAGAAATTCTGTGATAGTATTGCTTCAGGGTGTCAGGCGACAAAACTTCATATATATTAGGTCATACTATTATATACGCTCGCCTGCAGATTGTAAGGTTGTGGGTTCACTCCCTGGTGGAGGTGAACTTTTTTCAAAAATGATCTTGGTTCCCATGTAGACCCAGTCTTGAGTGGATACCGGGTACAGTCCCAGGAAATAAAGGTGACCGGCGTGATACTGACCACATCACCCATATTATGCCGATTGGTCTATAAAATAGAGGTCTAGCCCTATATGCCCCATACGCCTAAAGGCGTGGAAAAGGGTCCTTAACTTTCACATACGTTTATATGGAGTGGTGGTGTCCTATTTTTGCAACAGCAGATAACAGATGTATTCTAAGGTGAAATGTAGAATAACTCTCAAGATAACAAACATTTTCTTTTATAGTTATTAATAGGTTTGAGGTTTTAAACTTTTGAACAACATCAGGGTACTCGGGTGTAACCCATAAGTGCTCCTTTCTTCTTCTAACTCAAGTCTGAGTCCGAAGAAGCTCAGCACAGTGCACAGGCTTTGTGGCACCGGCGAGGATCCTGAAATACTTTGGGTAGATTTTTACCTCCAAATTTTGCCTGGGCAGTGCTGTTAGGCTACTGTTTTCGATTTCCAATTGCCAAGGATTTTTTTTATGTGCACAACAATGCACACGGGCGTCCGATCTCACTACCCAGAGACCACGGGAAATCACTAGATGTCCAAGTCCAGGTGAAAAAATCCCAGCCCTTACCGGGAATTGGGAGTTACCATGGCCGAGCGGCTAGACGCTCGCCACGGATCGGAAGGTCGTGGGTTCGCCCCCTGGCGGAGCCAGGCTTTTTTCAAAAATGACCTTGGCTTCCAGGTCGACCCAGCTTTGAGTGGGTACTGGGTACAGTCCCGGGAAAGTAAAGACGGCCGGCGTGATGCTGACCACATCACCCTCCTGTGCCGATTGGTCTATCAAAATATAGGTCTAGCCCTATATGCCCTATACGCCTAAAGGCATGGAAAAGGGTCCTTTACTTATTTTTTACTTACCGGGAATTGAACCCGGAACCTCTAGCACTCAAGGCGGATACTATGCCATGAGACTAGGCAGCCCCAGTTATTCATAGGTAAAATATAAAAGAGATAATATGAGAATCAACATTGAAAAGACAGAGTAATGTCAATAGGAAGAAAAAGAGTAATCTAAATATAATAGTAGAGTGCAATGAAATTAAACTGGCACATGAGTTTATATATTTTTGAACAGTATTCATCAAATATGGTAAAGTTGATGAAGCTATTAATATCAGATGCAGACATCTCAGATGCAAGCCTACAGCGTAAGACAATCCCAGTCAGCATAAAGAAACATTTCATGTAAAGATTATTCATTCCCACTCTATGCTGCCCCACTCTATGCTGCCAGACAAACCAGAGAAGACAATAATGATGGAAATTAGATGTCTGCAGAAGTGACCAGAAATGAAAAAAAAAAAAAAAGGAGTGTAGTCGTAAAGAAAAAGCACACAAAAAAAATAAAATTACATGTAATGACAGCAGATCAAATGGTTTGCCCACCTGTGATGCCATACCATACAAAGCATACACCAAAACAGATGGAAGAAGTTTGTGAGGTAGAACAAGAACAAGATGGAAAGATAAAATCAGAGAAACTCTACAACAGTTCATGTGCTTATTGTCAAGGCAGCCAGAACAGCAAGAAGCAGAACCTTTTATCTCCCTTGACACCTGGAGCCATAAAACAGGAGGCGAAGAAGAAGAAGAACAACAAAAAGTAGCTCGCAACAGGAGACCTGTTTTTGATTAAAAACAAGAAAATCATTGGCTCTCAGGGCTACAGAGGTGCTGAACACACATGATGTTGCACAGAACCAGGGCTCACAGTGGTTCTACACCTCTCCACAGTCAGCCTAGAAACAGGTTCCCACCCGGGAGCCTGGCCCACACAGACAGGACTAACAAAGACAGGACCAACATAGACAGGACCAACATAGACAGGGCCAACAAAGACAGGACCAACATAGACAGGACCAACATAGACAGGGCCAACATAGACAGGGCCAACATATACAGGACCGACATAGACAGGGCCAGCACAGACAAGACCAACACAGAGAGGACCAACATATACAGGACCAACATAGACAGGACCAACATAGACAGGACCAACATATACAGGACCAACATAGACAGGACCAACTTTTCCTTTGAGATCAGACTGCAACTGCCTGAGTGGTGAAAAACCAACACAAATGAGCCAGATAAGTAAAAATGAATGTGCAGGCAAGACTCAAGCCCCAGAACAAGACAAAAGTTTAGAAATTGAAAAACAATGGGCACTTTCCACAGCAGTTTACAGTCGGTCACCATGAAAAAGAATATGAAGAGTATTTCCCTTAAACTTAACATCTTTATGTTAGAAAGAGTGAAATAGAAACTAGAAGTTTAAAAAACAGGCTTAGTAATAATAAATTGTCTTAGAAAGAAATCAGGTAATAATTAATTGTATAAGAAAGAGTTGAAAATAATAATTAACTGTTAGAAAAATATTATGTAATAATTAAGTGTGTTAAAAAAAAATAGTGCTTGGAATGAAAAGGTTATAGTACAATTTGCCCGGAATGCAAAATGTTACAGCACAAACTGCCTACAATATAAAGAGTTACAGAACAAACTGCTTAAAATATAAGGTTTTACAGGACAACTGCTTAGAATAAAAAGCATTACAGAATAAACTGCCTGGGATATGAAGTGTTACAGCACAAACTTAGAATGTAAAGTGTTACAGAAAAAACTATCTAAAATCTAAAGTGTTACAGAATAAGCTGTCTAGAATATAAAGTGTTACAGAATAAACTGCCTAGAATATAAAGTGTTACAAATTAAACTGTTGGTATCTGTGGCTTTTGCAATGCAAATATGCTTTGTAATTCTGTGGTGTTGGGCTTGAACCCAACTGCAGGACAATTTGTCAGCAGATTACCTTGCATTGTTTTCATCAGTGGTATCAAAAAGTGGTATCAGAAAGCAATGACTAACTATTAAACATAAAATTACCGAGTGAAATCACAAACAGCTAAAATCTGTTGGTGTTGGTTCTGCAACATCTTGTAAAGGACATGCACAAACTGCCAGGGATCTAAAGTGTTAAAGTGCAAACTGCCTGGGATCTAAAGAGTTAAAGTACAAAGTTCCTGGTTTGCAAAGGGTTAACACATACAGTTAGAGATCTGAAGGACCTACCATTGCTTTCCAGTAAATGTTGCACAGTCTGTTGGTGGTTCGATGCTGGCACCCATTATCTCTGTGGAGAACAATCATTTGTATGCTTTTGTAGGGGCTTCATGAGTTAATATGTCTGTCTGTCAGTCTGTCTATGTAGGGTTGGTTATCGTGCACATACACATAATACACACACATTTTCCCATGTACGCATGCACATACACATTATCTTCACCAACCATCATGTAGCAGGCCGTTTGTATAACATCACTCTCATCACAGTTTGCCTGAAAGATACTCTGTCTCTCACCAGCTTTTCCACCTCATGCACTTTCTGACCCAAGATGTCAAGTATATCATGTGCCCCTGTCCCTCTTTCCTGGTACCATGTGATCTGCTATTATGTTTTTTCTTCCAAACCACCATGACACTTGATATGGCCAAAATATTTCAGTATCTGAGACACGATACTGTTTACAATACAATATTCCTTGATTTTCAGATCTTTTAGGATGGCATTAATTTCTGTTGGCACCAGACAGGGCACCACAGAGAGCAAAGTTTTACGATAACAGAGCCAGAACATGGAATGTAGAAAGATCAGAGACACTGAAAAATACTTTATGCGAAGCGAACAGAAGGGCCCGTTTAATAGATCTCTTTCTGTCCTGACACTGCCAGACATGCCAGGAGTAGAGAAAAAAAGAACAACTATTTCTTCTCTTCATTGTCCATGGTATTCTAAGAATCTTTCTGTAGCATTTCAGCTCAAAAGCCCTCATTTCCTTCACAAAAGACTGTGAGACTGCATAATCTTCACCACATCTAAAACTATTACCATGACAATCACAACTCCTCCAATCCAAGCATTATCACTATCATCAAAAGTACACACTGAGCATCATCAACATGATGTGCCTTGCTGATAATAAAGTGCGGTTACGACTTACCATACCATACGATTACCAGAAATAGGGATTAGGCAGCGACAAGGCTTACATGTCATGGCCGTAATCAATGTTTACATTTTCTTTTGCTGAAGAAAATGCATTCTTTTACTTTTTATTATTACTGCTTGCTATTTATAGGGAGCCGCCATGGTCTAGTGGCTAGACGCATGCCTGCGGATAGGAAGGTCATGTGTTTGGGTCCTGACAGGGGCCGGACTTTTTTCAAAAACGACTTTGGTTCCCAGGTCGACCCAACCTTGAGTGGGCACCAGGTACAGTCCTGCAAAATAAACTTAAACTTTCAACCTTTTAAACTTTGAACTTAGCAAAAAGAATGATTGCTGCTTATGCCACTCATGCAGAAACTGTAACATGTGAAAGCTACCAGTTACTAATATGACAATACTAGCTGTGTACACATACTCTCAACATTGAAGGAACAAGGAGGAAAATATCATTTGATACCCTCTCCAGGGTAATCATTAGCTGATACTGTTTACAAATGTGAAATAATCAAGCTTCCCACCTGGGATCAGGTCAGAGCTCTTGTCTGGCCCACTCCATGTGGCCAAGTTATCAAAGTATTTATATCGCTTCGCTTTTTCCTGACCCTATATTCATAAGTTTTTTCAGCTGTTCGGGAGTCTTTCCTTATCCCAACATGTCCAAGAAATATTTAACATCAATGTCTAGTGTTTAATTGATTTAGGGTTTTCATTCAAGGAAAAGGCAAGACAGATATACAATGAGACAGTCACTGGTGCCACTGGAATTGGAACTCTTTGCTTGCTGCTAAACATAGGGGTAGAGTGCTTATGGGAGTCTTCCAGGTGCAGTGATGCTGATTCTTAATTCAATTTTCAACATTCAGGGCTTTCATATGTTGAGGATTACCTTATTTCTTTCTATCATGCCATTATCATCATCATTATCAGAAACAAAAACACCACAACAGCAAACAGAACTGACTGCTTACATCTGGTATATAGCAGGGGGCATGAGCGTCATGATGTACTTGCTGGCGCCAGCGTCAAAGATGTCTGTGATGTCACTCTTCACCCATGGCTTGTAACCTGCAGAACATCATATACTGACTTTTATACTAAATAACATATTTTTTAAATTTATACCAAATAACATATTACTTTAACTTATACAAAATAACATATTACTTCAATTTATACCAAATAAGACATTATTTTCATTAAAAAAAATGTTATTATCATTTATACAAAAAAACATGTTATTTTTATTTATACAAATAAGACATAAAAAAAAAATTTATACTAAATAACATAGTTTTTTCACTGCCCTTTGCTAATGCAGTTTCCACATTTGGATGGTAGTCTACGGTTTCGATGCCTGAACTACTGAGTTTAGTCCTTGGTGAAGCCCTGTGAGCTGTGTTTGTTCATGTGGAATGCCTTTTATTTGTGCAGTGGTTGTGTCGTGGTGTTCGGTATGGCTGGTAGCCGGTTTATGTGTGAGCTGGTGAAATATCTCATGTGATAATTCTACATGTGTATAGCAGCTAACTTACTATGCCCGACTACTTCCATCAATGACAAACAGAATTTCTGGTGACGACTGTTGGCTTTGGCACCTCTAGCAACTGAAACTTGCATTTACTGCGTGGTGCATATTTCTGGATTGTGCCGGGACTAGTTGTTTGTTCACCAGTTTTTCAAATGGAACAGTGAGGGACATTTCATTTGGTTTGCACTGGCACAGGAACGGAGCAAGTTTGGGGAAACCCGATTGCGGTGAAATTGAAACCCCGACTAAGACCAAGACTAAGATTAATAGTTTTTCATGCATTCCACATAAAATACAGGTCTCATGTATACAGATGTCATCGTTACTACCAATAATAGCAAATAAGATATTATTCTCATTTTTTACTAAAAACAAATGATTCTCATTTATACCAAATAACAGATTATTCTAATTTATATCAAATTACATATTATTCTCACTCATACTAAATAACATACTATTTTCATTTATACTAAATAACTTCATTATTCTTGTTTGAGGTTTGAACAACGGATCAACATCATGGCACATGGGTAGTAACACATAAGTGCTCAGTTCTTCTTCTAACTCAAGTCTTGAGTTCGAAGAAGCATAGCACAGCGCACAGGCACTGTAGCACCGGCGAGTATCCTGAAATTCTTTGGGTAGATTTTTAACTCCAAATTTTGCTCGGGCAGCGCTGTTAGGCTACTCTTTGCGATTTGCATGTGAGAATTGTGTTTGTGGGTGCGTGCAGGCATGCACATGCACACATGTGTGTGTGTGTGTGTGTGGGGATGTGGGGTGGGGGAGGAGAGTAACCTCTAACTCTTTGAGTCCCAGAGAACACATCAGGCGCTAATTTGTTTCAACAGCGTGGCCCATTTGACGCGTGACAAGTGAAGGTTTTTAATCTACCACTGACTGGTTGTAAAACGCGGACCGCTCAATTTAAACTTCCTTTTGAGTTCTTTGTGTCTGATATCAGGCGTGCTCATTTAGAAACCTGGTCTGAAAGACAAAAATATAGTAATGTGGTGGTAAGTGGAAATTTTTTTTATTTCATTTTACTAATTTTTGTGAACATACTATCTGTTTATTTACTAATATTTAATTACTAACACAATTATTTGTTGTAGCTACATTCTACAACTATTCCTGAACAATCCCTGGTCACTTTGATGTATAATATGTGTATGTTGCACGGCAACTGAATTAGTATGGTCTGTTTTAATGTGTTACACTTGTAAAATAAACAAATTGCATTACCACCCCTTGGGCTTCTGATCCGAAACCCACTGGGACTCAAAGAGTTAACACCAGGGATTTGTTGCATGAGATGTTGCTAGTGTAGACACAGGTGTCAACTCTGGATGTTAATCCACTTCTGGTCCACTTCTGGTTCACTTCTGCACTGAAGTCTTTGTTCCAGGTATTTAGTTGTGCATATTCATCCGTTTGATAAATCTATTCTACTTGTAGGGTCCTCTCCTCTCAGACAGATGCACACCAACTTCAAATAAACCAGCCCTTACTAATTGCTCCTTTGATGTGCTTGGGAGGCAGTGGGTCTATTATCTCCCCACTACCCCCACAAATGGGATCCTGGGACCCATATGGGACCCAAACATGATTTTCTAGGAACAAATACAATGATTGTTCCAGTGTACCTGTATATGGCGGCAACTCCTTCTCAGTCAGCTTTGGAAGCCAATCGTACACCATGATTTTCTGGGGAAAAACAATTAATCAATCATACATCATGATTTTCTAGGGAATAAAAATAAATCAGTCATACACCATGATTTTCTGGGAAGAAACAATGAATGAGTCTGACAGAATGATTTTCTGGGAAGAAACAATGAATGAGTCTGACAGAATGATTTTCTGGGAAGAAACAATGAATGAGTCTGACAGAATGATTTTCTGGGAAGAAACAATGAATGAGTCTGACAGAATGATTTTCTGGGAAGAAACAATGAATGAATCTTACAGAATGATTTTCTGGGGAGAAACAATGAATGAGTCTTACAGAATGATTTTCTGGGGAGAAACAATGAATGAGTCTTACAGAATGATTTTCTGGGAAGAAACAATGAATGAGTCTGACAGAATGATTTTCTGGGAAGAAACAATGAATGAGTCTGACAGAATGATTTTCTGGGAAGAAACAATGAATGAATCTTACAGAATGATTTTCTGGGGAGAAACAATGAATGAGTCTTACAGAATGATTTTCTGGGGAGAAACAATGAATGAGTCTTACAGAATGATTTTCTGGGGAGAAACAATGAATGAGTCTTACAGAATGATTTTCTGGGGAGAAACAATGAATGAGTCTTACAGAATGATTTTCTGGGGAGAAACAATGAATGAGTCTTACAGAATGATTTTCTGGGAAGAAACAATGAATGAGTCTTACAGAATGATTTTCTGGGGAGAAACAATAAATAAATAATAGACCATAATTTTCTGGGTAGAAGCAAAAAATCGGTCATACACCATGATTTTCTGGGAGAAAAACAATAAATCAGTCATGCATTATGATCTTCTAGGTAGAAACAATAAATCAATCATACACCAAGATTTATACATATATATATATATTGAAGAAAAAAAAACCACTAAAAAAACTGAAATCAGCTATCTACAATGAATCCTCAATTTAACTAGAAAAGACAAAATTTGAAACAAAGATATCAGAAGATAAGTTTTTTGGGATGGAACCCGCTAAGTTTTGGGATGGGACCCGCTAAGTTTGGGATGGAACCCGTAATAAACTAAATCAAAAGATAACTGATCAAATCATTTGGACATGTGTCAAGACTACTACAGATAGTGCAACACAGAGCCCTGTCACTTCGGCAAATTAAAAGCCTTCCAGAGGTCGACCATGCGAGTGATAGATAGAAGGAGTATCCAAGGCTATAAATACCAGCACCTGTGTAGCACATGCCAAGGCTCTCACCTGATGCCTCTTCAAAACCTGACTCTGAAAGGTACAACAGGACTAGAGAATGAATGAATAAACAAACTTTATTTCCAGTGGGTCAGGAATTGGGCACGCAGGCCTGTCTAGCATTAAGCCCTTCCAGGACACTCCTTGCATACAATTATTCATTAATAACATATTTCCATAGCTAATAATAATAATAATAATAATAATAATAATAATAATTAACAATAATATTAATAATATTAATAATAATAATAAATGTAAAGTAAAGGTCCCTTTTCCACGCCTTTAGGCATATAGGGCATATAAAAACTAGACCTATAATTTTATAGACCAATCGGCACAAGATGGGTAATGTGGTCAGCATCATGCCGAATAATAATGATAATAATAAAATGTTTATAAACATCTAGGTGTTAATTACAAATGCTGGAATGTACTCCAGTTATACTTACATTACTGAACTTTAAAAAAAAGTATAGACATTAACCTATTATTAGTCTTTAAACAAAAGACATCATAAAACATGACAGCAAAATCTATCCAGGCACAGGTAATAAATAATCTTTCTTACCTATATGCACCTAAAAAAAGTAAAATTCTGACCTATGTGTACCCAGGAACACATCTTTCTTACTTTAAAACCCACCTTTCTCACATTTAAAACCCACCTTTCTCACCCTTAAACCCATCTTTCTTACCTTTAAAACCCATCTTTCTCACCTTTAAAACCCATCTTTCTCACCTTTAAAACCCCTTTCTCACCTTTAAAACTCATCTTTCTCATGTTTAAAACCCATCTTTCTCACCTGTATGACCCCAATAACCCATCTGCGGGTCTTCTCAAAGGCCTCATCACTGGACAGGTAATTGTAACGCTGCTGGAACTCTTCAGCCATTGTATTGTGATACCTGTAGAACATCATGTTCAGGGCCAAGATGGCTGGATTTTCAAACACGTCAGCATCTCCGAGCCCTGAAGAAGAGCCAGAATAGAAACACTAGTGACACTCCCATGATGGTTAGAAGTAAGTACTATGTAAGAGGGTAAAAGGGTTCTTTATTAAGATCCTACCCCAGATGACGTCACAACATTTTAGAGGGTGGTAAGACTGGGTTTCCCAGCTTTCTGATGCTTTTAATGACCCCAAAACCTCTAAAACTGGCCCTAACCCCAACCCACCTACGTCTCTTGAGAGAGTGCAGCCTAGGTCCCACGACTGCATGCAGCCTAGGTCCCACGACTGCATGCAGCCTAGGTCCCATGACTAGATGCAGCCTAGGTCCCACTACTTCATGCAGCCTATCTACCACACCCTGAAATATTAGACTGTCCCGTGACCTGTGGATTTTCCCTGTTTGGGGTAGGATATTAATAAAGCACAGGTAACAGAAGTGTATGTAATATATAACAAAGTAATTAACTAGTAGGAAATAGTTGCTAATGGTATGTAAGTAATAGGTAATTAGGTTTATTCATAGTGATAGTGGCTGAAACATTAACAGCAAAACCTGTAATGGTGAGAGTAGTAGTAGCTGCAGTTGTAGTAGCAGCCGTGTGAGTAGTAGTAACAGTCGCAGCAGCAGTAGCATCAGCAGTAATAGTAACGTGAGTCATAGTAGCAGCAGCTTCATGAGTAGTAGCAGTAGTGGGAGTAGTAGTAGCAGTGTGAATAGTAGTAGTGGAGGTGTAGCAATAATTATTGTAGTAGTAGTGTAGTAGTAGCAGCAGCAGCGGGAGTAGTAGTTATAGTGTTAGTAGCAGTAGTGGTGGGTGCAGTATTTGTTGTAGTAGTAGTTGTGGTAATAGTAGTAGTCGTACAAGTGGTAGTAGTGGTCGTGGTGGCAGTAGTGGTGGTGGTAGTAGTTGTAGTAGCAGTAGTAGTAGTAGTAGTAGTAATAGCAGCAGTTGTTGTACTAGTGCCAATTAGCTTACTTGAAAAGCAATTAAAGTATTACTGGTTATCAGTAGTGATATTTGTTGCAGAGTAGTAGTAGTGACAGTTGTTGTAGTAGTAGCAACAACAATTGTTGTTATGCAGTATTAGTAGCATTACAATGTTAGATACCTCCACAAGGTGAAAACAAAAACAACTCACGCCACAGCTCTTCTAACTTGTTGTAGCTGTACGTGTATGAATTGTAAGGTAACCCAACATTATTCCTCAGCGGAAATTTGCCCCACTTGTCCTCACATGCTAGTTTGCCAGAGTTTGGGTCCCGCAGAAATTCAGTTCTCACCAAATTTTTTCCGTACAGGAAACTTCCATCAATGAAGCTTGATTGCCAGTTAATCTGAAGAGAAAGTGTTGGAGTTTGGTTTGGTTCAGTTTCTGAAGAATCATTTTCACTACATACAGATACCTTCACAATGGTTCCTGTCAGTTGTTATTTGATCTATGGTTGGTTAATTCAGGGTCATTGAGAATGATTGCCAGAATTTTAAACAGTTATTGTAAAAGAAGTATCTTGTAACACTGAGATCAAAATATATAAAACTTTGATAAGACCAGTCGTTTTGTGTGGCTCTGAAACTTGTAGCACAACTAAAAGAGATGAAGCCTTATTACATATTTTCAAAAACAGTCTTTTGACGAATCTTTGGACCCATAAAAAATGCAAACAGCAGGGAATGGAGAGTGGGAAGCAGCAATGAAATTCATAATCGGTTTAAATCACCTTTGATCACTGGCATCATGAAAACTAACAGGTTGAAATGGCTGGGGCATATTGAGAGAATATCAGATGACAGACCAAGAAGGAGATTATAGGGATAATGTCCAGAGATCTGCAAACACTAGGTGTCACCAACTGGAAAGAGAAGGCCAACCACAGAGATGAGTGGAGGCAGGTGATATCTGCAGCAATGAACCGCAAGAGCTCAGAATGCTGAAGAAGTCCAATGAGAGACATGAATGGAGGTGGGTGATATATGCAGCAATGAAACCACAAGGGTTCGGAATGCTGAAAAAAAGTAGCAGAAATTTAAAAGAAGTATTTAATGAATATGCACATCTGGTGTCTTGATTGTTCATAAAAGTTAAAGTTTTCAGCTTGCCGTTCTGCACTTTGATATGGATGCAATTTGTGGGCTGTGGTGATGTCTAGATGGTGTTCAATCTCCCGCCATTTCTTGTGAAATGTGTCCAGAATTGCAGTTGCTGCAGTGACCCTCTCTTTAATTTGCTGGATGTTCCTTAACTTCTCAGTGCCATTTTAACAATCATGGTCACACAAGGTTACAAAAAAGTCTCACAAAATGTTCAACTTTTCAGAACATGTCAGGTGTATGACAGACCTGGCTAATTATGACAAGCTTTCATAAGCTTGTCAAGTTGATCATGAGACAAAAAGTACATCTGTTCCTGCAGTGAGGTGCTTTTGTCATTTGGAAAGATTTGAGTAATGTTTTAGTAACTACAGCTTTAGATTTTTATGTTGTCTGGTGTGTCCTTCTATTATTTTATTTGTTTTTTTAAAGTGCCAATCAATATATGTTAATTGTTTTAATGACAGATAACACAGAGACAAAAATGTTGAAGGGGAGTAGACCATAAAGCGGACCAAGCAGACAATGGAGAGATAATATAATAGCAGTCCTAGAAACACTTGGAGTCACCAACAGGAAAGAGAAGGCTAATCAGAGAGATCAATGGAGGTGGGTGATTTCTGCAGCAATGACTCTCAAGTGGCAGAATGCTGAAGAAAGAGGAAACAAAATGGACTGCCTCTAAAACAAAGAAAAGACTAAGTTATAAAATGTTTCTTTTTTGCAGTTGTATCACTGTTCCTGTTTGTTGTAAGCTGATGAAGGCTTTTTAGCTGCAATATTTATTTTATCATCATGAATGAATTTTATCGTGAAGCTGACTGGTTTAAACTGGTCTTGTTTAGATTGGTCTAATTTGTTATAACTGCCAGTCAATATCCATAACATAACCTTTGACCTTTAACTCTTTGAGTCCCAAGAAACACATCATACATTCACAGATTCCTACCTACAAGCCCAATGAATGCAAGATGTGCCGATTTTACGTCTTTCTTGACTACCCCTTGGGCCAGTGATGCTAAATCCCCTGGGACTCAAAGAGTTAAGGGTCGAGGGTGTGTACTGAAGAAAGCATTAGCACATAAAATCAACCATCTTTCTCTGTCTACCTCTTGATAAACAAGTGTCTAATAATTTAGTCCTATCCATTTCTTGATTTCATCATTCTATGTTCTACACCAACCCCTGCACCCTCCCTCCTCTTTCTTTTATTACACCCCTCCCAGTGTTCCTTGACATTTGTCAAAGACAAAATAAACCAAACAGGCAATCTTCTTCTTCTTGTGTTGCTCCTTGCATTTGATTCATGCATCAGAAGTGCCAAAACAAAACTAGCTTGCCATGTTTCACCACTGCCAAAAGAGTCTCTGGATGTCATGCAAATTTGTTTATTTTGTCTCTGACACATTTCCATTATCCAGAAACATATTTCAAATTTTTTTTCATACCTGTCTCCTGGGGTTGTTTGGGGACTGTCCTGATGTCTTCTCGTATGCTGACCTTTCATACGGCATTGTTTTATCCCCTTTAGCATCAGGGTCAAAGGTTGGGTCACCTCGTGGCACCGGCACATCAAGGATCTCCACAGGGCAAGTCAGTTCATCAGTGTCCATAATTTCATGTTGAATGATTTGGCCTAGAAGGGAAGTTAGTCATCATATTTAGTTATTAGATACCGCAGATGAGGGAGTCACCGTGGCAGAGCAGCTAGACACTCGTCGTGGATCGGAAGGTTGTGGGTTTGCTCCCTGGCTGAGCTGGACTTTTTTCAAAAATGACCTTGGGTCCCAGGTCGACCCAGCCTTGAGTGGGTACCAGGTGCAGTCCTGGAAAGTAAACGCTACTGGCATGATGCTGACCACATCACCCATCTTGTGCTAATTGGTCTATAAAATATAGGTCTAGCCCTATATGCCCTATACGCCTAAAGGCATGGAAAAGGGTCCTGTACTTTACTTACTTACAGCAGATGAGGAAACTGCCAGAGGCTTCATTGCAAAAGCATGAGGGAGAAGAAATATACCCAGCATGAGAATGGAGGTTGAGGCAGTAACTGTGGCATTCTAATGGGTGAAAAAAAACCTCAGCCACATATGTTGTCATAGTAATGGAATTGCAAAGCATGCTCAGGAAAGTGGAGTCAGGTTTCTTCAGATGGAATAGGTGGCAACGTTCCAGAGGACACAGGTGGTGAGAGTAACATGGTCCCAGCTATGCAGATGTGTTTGGGAATGAGTAGGCAGATAGGTTGACTGGCCCTAATTGGGGGTGTACTGCAACTGCACAAGGATCAGGTCATCTTTTGCCTATTGGACAGATTAGAAGGGAAATTGAAAATACTGAAAACCTGTATCTGGAGAGAATGATGCAGACGGGGAATGTCTGTGAGTTCTGAGTGCCACTCAAGACTTGGGGCAAAGGCAAGATGAATATTTAACTCTTCACTGACTGCTGAGAAGGGATATGGAACTAATACGAGCTTAAAAAAAAACATGCTTTGATGTGTATTTGAACTTCTGACCTTCAGGCTGTCAAGCAAGCTTCGGCCACTCCCATGGCTCTCATTATTTTCTCTTCTGCAGCAATATTTTTACCACAAATACCTGCAGAGAGAATACTGAAAACTGGATACAGTTAAACAGGATAAGACTGCTACCCAGCCCTAACCCCCACCATCTCCTCCCATTTTTCGTGTGGGTTCTTAGGCCCTGGGAGTCACTGTGGCTAGACACTTGTCGCGGATCGGAAGGTTGTGGGTTCGCTCCCTGGCAGAGCCAGACATTTTTTTCAAAAATGACCTTGGCTCCCAGGTCGACCCAGTCTTGAGTGGGTACCGGGTGCAGTCCCGGGAAAGTAAAGGTGGCCGGCGTGATGCTGACCACATCACCCATCTTGTGCCGATTGGTCTATACAAATGTAGGTCTAGCCCTATATGCCCTATACGCCTGATGGTGTGGAAAAGGGTTCTTTACTTTTTTACTTACTTCATAAGCCCTAATGGGGGAAAGGTAGACCTCCCCCCCCCCCCCCCCCCTTCTACCCACAAGCATGACACAAAAGATTACTAACTAGGGATATGAAAAAATATGATGTGTTGGATCAAAAGATGTAGATATCACAGCCTAGCTTATGTAAACCATGAGACAAACGTCCCAGCCATCCTTGTAAAGAAGAAGAAGATTGATTACATGTTACAGGCCTTTAATTCTGACCTCCCAGTCATTACATAAATTCGGCAATGGAGATTACAGTCGTTGATCAGAAATAGCATGACGGAAGGGATTAAGTATGTCATTGCCCGGAAGTGCAAGAACATACTGATTGATTTACAGGTGAATACAAGTATTAAGATCAACATAATCAGCATATGATAATGAGTATGCGTTGAAAGTGGTGTAGGTTTCCAGGGGGTCACTGTTAAAAAAAAGAAACAAAAAAAAGAATAGACCCGCTATATATTGACAGTTATGTCATAAAAGGCAACTAGCATGGCATTTGTTTTTGTAAATGAGATGTGTTAGCCTAAAGATACAGATGCTGTGATAATGCAGCCTAGCTGTAAACCACAACAAAAAGTATCAGGTCACTTGACCCCAAGCAGTTGGGACTTTTAAAACTTCTATCCCAAGGAGCTGGGGAAGAAACGAAAAAATAAAACTCAGTATCATGGAGAAAGTGAACAGACACTGTGTTACAGGAGCACAGAATTTTTGTATGTAAGACCATATTTGATGAAATCAGAAGGAGTGCAGAAATAAGAGAAATGTCTGGGTAACCACTAGTGTCAAAAGTTTATAAGACAGAGAAGATACCTGTGTGAAAAATTGGACACATCCTGGGAAGAAACCAGCAGAGAATCAACAAACAAGCAATCTTCTTCATTTTTTGTTGTCTCACTGTTACCAGGTTGTAGCCAGGTTTTTTGTGGTTTTGTGTATTTGCCTTGCGCTTCTTGGGTGGTTTGAATGATGGATTTGTTCATCTGTCTGCAGGTCTCATCTACACCATTAATTCATCTCTTTCTTAGTCTTCCTCTCCCCTTCCCCCCAGATGTTCTACTGTTAAAAAATCTCATCTGCAGTCTGGTCTGGCTGCATTCTCACTAGATGGCCGAATTATTTCATTCTTTGTCTGTCAATATAATCCAGACATGGTCTTATTCCAACTCTGTCTCCTCTAGTGCTGTTAGTGACCTTGCAGAGAGAGCGCATTTCACATGTAGTTATTTTATGTTCTAGTGCCCTAAGGCAATTGAATGGGAAATAAAGGGATTAAGGAGGCGAGAAGGCCCAAAAGAAACATTAGGGGAAAAAAAAAACAACGGAGCTTTTGAGTTGAAATGCTAAAAAAATTTTTTTTTTCAGAATACAGTAAACCAAGCAGAAGAAAAATATCGACATCCTGTAGATTGAGGAAAACTGGCTCGTAAACAGCATCCTCTCCTAATCGCTGAGGTTATTTTAAATTTTAGACAGGTTGAGTAGCATGTCGAGGAGACCAGATATACATACATCCATGCACACAGTTACAAACAATTATGGAAAGACATACCGAAAAAGGCAAAGAGAGCTGTTAAGTTTCTCTTGTGTGGTATACCCGAACTTCCAGCAGGGTTGCCGAACAGTTCATTGCTAATCCGTCGAGGGTTTGGTCGGTCCCATCCTGAGGGAAGATAGGTTTCGTCTTCATATGTAGGTGTAATGTTTCGCTCCAGAGGCCGACCTACAAAGGAGTTTCATTGCAATATTATCAATAAAAAATTATGATGTTGATATTCAGATGAATAATAACAAGAGCAACAATAAAAGTAATAATAACTGAAACCACCGGGTTAATTATGTTACATTTGATCTGCGGTTAAATAATAATAATAAATGGGGTCAAAGAAGCCAACAGCGCCTTCTCCATGACAACCAGCAACATGAAGATGGAGGTGATGGCAGTGACGCAAGCGTTCGCCTGGCTCAAAACACAAAACTGCACCCGCGTATGAATACTCATCGATTCAATGAGTATGATCCGGAGTGTTCAGGCAGGTTGTGAAAACAGTGGCTTGAAGCATTACAAAAGTCCACTGTGCGTGGAGTCACCTTTATTTTTGTTCCGGGACACAAGAGGCGTCGATGGAAATGAAAGAGCTGATAGGTTGGCTGGATCCGCTATCACTACTGACGGTCGGCCTATGGATCATGCTGATATTATTAATGCCCTTAGAGAAATGGGAAGGATAGAGGACTTTGGGGGCAGTGAATCCACATCACTCGCCAGAATGACAGACTTGGGAATTAAGATCGGCATAGCAAAAAATGAGACGCACACCAGACACACCAGAGGACTTGTTATTCAACATAGAACCGGTACTATTAGCCATCGGACGTTGTGGTTCATACTGAGGGGAGGATCTGAGCACCTATGGACGTTTCCGGAGTGCAATGATGATAACCCAACTAACTAACTAATAAATATATTATTATCTTTGTGTCAGGTTTGTTTTAATAATAATAATAATAAGAGGAAAAACAATTTTTCTTCTTCTTCTTCTTCTTCTTCTTCTTCTTCTTCTTCTTCTTCTTCTTCTTCCTCTTCTTCTTCTTCTTCTTCTTCTTCTTCTTCTTCTTCTTCTTCTTCTTCTTCTTCTTCATCTTCTTCTTCTTCTTCATGTCCTCCTGCACCACTTCCGGTGTCGATGATGATCCAAAGTTCTGGTGGATTACTTCCAGAATCTCACACAAGGCCTACCATGTCCATACGAGTTCTGAGGCGCCATTTCAGAAGAAGAAAGAATATACCACATTCATCACTTTCAAATATTCATTGTTCACACATTAACTGTATTTTTATTTTCAAAGCATGTTATGTTCATATTGCAAAACACACAATATAAGTATAAAGAAAAAAAAACATGCATACATACATGCACACATATACACTCTTATACTCATTCACACCCAAACATACACATATTTATTTACACATATACTCATACAAACATTCATACACACATGCATATACATGCACACCTACAGACACACTCATTTATATAAATACACTTATAACTACACGAACACATACACATACATACATGTCTCTCCCAGATATACACACACATACATGTCTCTCCCAGATTCACACACACACACATACATGTCTCTCCCAGATATACACACATACATACATGTCTCTCCCAGATATACACACATACATACATGTCTCTCCCAGATATACACACACACATACATGTCTCTCCCAGATATACACACACACATACATGTCTCTCCCAGATATACACACATACATACATGTCTCTCCCAGATATACACACATACATACATGTCTCTCCCAGATATACACACACACATACATGTCTCTCCCAGATATACACACACACATACATGTCTCTCCCAGATATACACACATACATACATGTCTCTCCCAGATATACACACATACATACATGTCTCTCCCAGATATACACACACACATACATGTCTCTCCCAGATATACACACATACATACATGTCTCTCCCAGATATACACACATACATACATGTCTCTCCCAGATATACACACATACATACATGTCTCTCCCAGATATACACACATACATACATGTCTCTCCCAGATATACACACATACATACATGTCTCTCCCAGATATACACACATACATACATGTCTCTCCCAGATATACACACATACATACATGTCTCTCCCAGATATACACACATACATACATGTCTCTCCCAGATATACACACATACATACATGTCTCTCCCAGATATACACACATACATACATGTCTCTCCCAGATATACACACATACATACATGTCTCTCCCAGATATACACACATACATACATGTCTCTCCCAGATATACACACATACATACATGTCTCTCCCAGATATACACACATACATACATGTCTCTCCCAGATATACACACATACATACATGTCTCTCCCAGATATACACACATACATACATGTCTCTCCCAGATATACACACATACATACATGTCTCTCCCAGATATACACACACACATACATGTCTCTCCCAGATATACACACACACATACATGTCTCTCCCAGATATACACACACACATACATGTCTCTCCCAGATATACACACATACATACATGTCTCTCCCAGATATACACACATACATACATGTCTCTCCCAGATTCACACACACACACATACACACTCATACAACACTCATACATGCACATAACACACATACTCACAAACATGAATACATACACAGACGCACTCATGCAGACATGCATATTCTATGTCCTTATCATTCCCAACCATATGTGTTTGTGCGTGTGTGTAAAAATAAACACATGGACACACGCATGCACACACATTCACACTCAAACATGAATAAACATACATACATTTACAAACAGCCAAATACACATACAGATTGACAGGAACGTATATATATATATACACACGCGCACACACATATATACATTAACAGACAGACAGAGACAGACAGACAGACAGACAGACAGACAGACAGACAGACAGACAGACAGACAGACAGACAGACAGACAGACAGACAGACAGACAGACAGACAGACAGACAGACAGACAGACAGACAGACAGACAGACAGACAGACAGACAGACAGACAGACAGACAGACAGACAGACAGACAGACAGACAGACAGACAGACAGACAGACAGACAGACAGACAGACAGACAGACAGACAGACAGACAGACAGACAGACAGACAGACAGACAGACAGACAGACAGACAGACAGACAGACAGACAGACAGACAGATTTTTTTTAACGTATCCAGAAACCATGAGTTGTAAACCCTTTGGCTCGGTACTATGGATATCGCAACCCTTCGGCCTTGATTCCATTATAGGTACCGTAATCTGGGAGAAATGTGGCTTTTCTGCCTACCCCCGGGAGTGAACCCGGACCACAAGGAGTTCGTCACCCGGCCGCCGTGAAAGTCAGGTTTAACCAACTTCGCTAGAGAGCCGGGCATAGATAGATAGATAGATAGATAGATAGATAGATAGATAGATAGATAGATAGATAGATAGATAGATAGATAGATAGATAGATAGATAGATAGATAGATAGATAGATAGATAGATAGATAGATAGATAAGAAGAAATAAAAACAAGGGAGATAACACGAAGTAAACTAAGCCAGAGCAAGGGCGACCACTCACCGACGCCACCCCAGGATGGGTTCAAGGGGTTGTTGTACCAACCATCAAATCTCTGAACCGGAATGTCCTTGACCGAGTTACCTGAAAGAGATACAATGGAGCTTCAGCCGAGTATCTTGCAGGCGGGTGTCGGGCAGTGTAAGGAGGTGTGGCCATTTCTGTGTCTGTGTTGTCAATGACTGAAATGTTGCTGAAGAGCTAGAGGTTTTCATAACTGAAACCGTTCCATTAGGGGAAAGATAACTTATTGTCATCTTCTTGTGGGATGCAATTTTTCATTATTTTGAAGCCCCACTCTAGTTATTTCCAGGGGCCTCAATATAGACCGGCCATGACTATGGTCCAATGGCTGAACGCGGTTTCTAGGATCCAAATCGGCATTGTGGCACTTTGTGTCATCAGGTGTTTATCGCTTGTGTGATGTCCTGGTGGGGTCAAATGTACTACTACTAATACGGGACACAATATTTCGTTTTTTTTTTCAAGCCCCACCCCAGATGTAGTCAGGGGTCCTAATATAAAATAACGGTTAAACGGGGTTTCTAGGACCTTTCCCTGGTTGGTTCTCATCCGCATGGTGACATTTTGTGTCGCTGGGTGTTTATTTTTTGGTGGATGTCATGGTGGTGTTAAATCTCATTCATTCATTCATGCTAGAGGCTTGCAGTCTGATGGTGCTGAATCTCATTCATTCATTCATTCATGCTAGAGGATTGCAGTCTTGTGGTGTTAAATCTCATTCATTCATTCATGCTAGAGGCTTTCAGTCTGGTGGTGTTAAATCTCATTCATTCATTCATGCTAGAGGCTTGCAGTCTGGTGGTGCTGAATCTCATTCATTCATTCATGCTAGAGGCTTGCCGCCTGGTGGTGTTAAATCTCATTCATTCATGCATGCTAGAGGCTTGCAGTTTGGTGGTGTTGAATCTCATTCATTCATTCATTCATGCTAGAGGCTTGCAGTCTGGTGGGTCGGCGTTCCATTATTTGCTGTTAATTCTTATTAGTTGCTGTCTCAAAACGGGACGCAATTTTTCGTTACTTTAAAACCCTACTCCGGCTGTTGTCAGGGGCCCTAATATAACCAAGCGACTGAAAGGGATTTCTGAAACTTGCCCACAGGTGATTCTCATCTGAACTGTGGCATTTTGTGTCACAGGTGTTTATCGCTCGTTGAGCGGCCCTGGTGTGGACTTGAATGACAGTCATCATTCTTGTTCACTGCTCTTATCCTGATAGGAATGCAGGTTACATCTACGTTGTGTAGCCGTTATAAAAGTAAAGTATAATGTTGAATTAGAAATCGACATCATAGCTCTTGGGACACTCCCATGATCGCCTCTTCCCCATCTTCAGCAGCAAGCAAAATGTTATAGTTCCGATGGTACCAGTAACTGTCTTATTGTACATCAGTCTCGCCTTTCCCATGAGTGGAGCGTCGGTCAGATCCCCTTGTAAATAACCGCAGCACCATTCTCCTCAGACCGTAATGATTTATTTGTACCTCCGCAAAAGAAAAGTAAGGGTCCCTTTTTTCCACACATTCAGGTGTATTTGGCATGGACGGCTAGACCTCTATTTATGGATAAATCGCCACTTGACGGGTAATCACTCCGGCTGCCTTTACCTTTCAGGACTGTAGCCGTTACATGTGCCCTAATTACAACTTCTTTTGAGGTTAAAGGGAGTATCTGCGATCTGCCATGTTGGTCTGTCGTCCAGATTCAGATTTTAAAAATCTCAGAATGGTATGGTAAACCTTTAGATAGCCGCTCGGAGGGGATGAGACAATTCATCAATCTATACTATTCGCTGTGAGATTATCTGCTTCTTTTGCCTTTTTTGTTCTGGTCAATAAGGAGGATAGGCGAGTTTACTGTTTTTATTTGTGTCAAGTTTTTGCTTCTGATAATAGTTGGACAATGCATTTTCCTCCATATATAGACTAAAAGGGTTCAGTTTTGTCGCTCATCTACTGAGTTGAGTGTATAAAGCAACACTGTGAGCTGCGGATTTCATTTGGGTTGTGTTTTGACATGTGACCACTATGGTTTGTATTATGACCTAAAGATGTATAACAAATTACCAGTGGCCTGTTGTCACAGAGCTGATGGTGCCTTATGTAATTAACCACTTGTGCAACTCTACAGATCTAGCAAAACTGCTGCTTCCATCAACGTTGAACTGAATTTCTAGTGTCGGAGTGTTTGTGTTGACACTTCTGACGACTGCCTTAGCCATTTAATGCGTGGGAATGCTATTGGATATCATGAGACTGAATTCTGTGCCAATTTTCCCACAAGGGACAGTGATGGACAGTCTGTGGTTTTTGTTGGCACAGGAACGGATCAGGTCTGGGGTGACCGCGATGACCTGATACGTTCGTGCCAGGGACAGGGCTGCCAATGAGATTTTTGTCAAAACCCAAGCTAAACTGAACGAAAAACCCAAGCAATACATAAGGAAAAAAAAAAAAATAATAAAAAAGTACCAATTGTATAGTTACGAAACAAAACAATGACCCATTTTATATCAGGATATATTTTAAAAACCCAAGATTCCAAAATATGAACCCAAGGCGTCAAAAATTATATCTTGGGGGAAACCCAAGTATTGACAGCTCTGGTCACTGACAACGTCGTTTGATTGGTAAGTGCAGTCTTCCATGAGGTCATTAGGGATCGTCGATGGGACTACTGAGTTATTGCTTTATATGATATTCTCCAGTGATATCTGCGGACAGACAGAGCCATATGGGATAAATTCGGTGCAGTAAAGTCGGGCTTCCCGACTTCAAATCTTTAGATCAGGGCTATTCAACTGGTGGCCCGCGGGCTGAATCCAGCCCACAGAAGCCTAGCAAGTGGCCCGCGGGCAATTGCCTGTTATATTGTACAAGTAATCTTTCCACTAATCCTTCCCCACTGTGGCTGGCGCCTCTGACCCATATGTGTGTATGTGCGTGTGCGTGTGAGGAGGGCTTATTTTTAAAAGATATAGTTAACTGTGTGTTTGTTAGCACCTTTCTTGTTGGTTTGAGTTAAACAACGGATCAACATCATGGTACAAGGGTAGTAACCCATAAGTGCTGTTATACTTGTTACTCAAGCCTGAGTCTAAAGAATCTCAGCCCAGTGAGCGAGCTCCGTAGCACCGGCAAGGATCCTGAAATACTTTAGGTATATATTTAACTCCAGATTCTTGCCGGGGCAGCACCGTTAGGTTACTCTTTTCTACTTTCACCTACCAAGGGATTTTTTATTTTTTACGTGCGCAACAATATACACGGGCGTCTTACTACCCAGAGAGCGGGCGGGAAATTACTTGACGTTAACAAATCCCAGCTTTCCATGGGGCCTGAACCCGGGACCTCTAGCACTCGGGGCGGACATTATGAATCGAGACGTCTTTCCGTAGGGCAGTGTTATATTGTGCTCAGCTCTCGTCTTTTCTGCAATCATTTCTTCCTTAATTCTCATTCTCTTCCTGGTGTGCCACCCCTGCAGACAACACATGGCATCCTGTTCCCACGAGTCCACCTCAATTCCTGTATCATTCATGTCCTGCTGTGTACACATCATTATATCGCAGTAGAAGCCGACCTCGACCTCTTCAACCCATCTGTAATTCACCATAGAGGATGTCTTTATAGACTCTACCATCCTCCTTTCGCTAACTGTAACCCAGCCACCTGAACCTTCGTAGACTGAGTATTAAGAAAACCTCTTAAAGCTTCTTCTTCTTCTTTTTCTTCTTCCTCCTCCTCCTCCTCCTCATCCTCCTAACCTCATTCAAACCGTCCTCTTTTTCACACCTTCCATCGCCAATGCACCAAATCCAATAAACAGGTCAAGGCATTACCTGCACATAAAAAATCCCCTCATCCCCTTATGGGATCCAATTTTTGGTTATTTTGAAGCTCAAACTGGCTTTTGCCGTGGGCCCTAAATACATCCGGGCCTGAAACATAGCTTAACGAATGAACGGGGTTTCCAGGACATCTACACAGGTGATCCTCTTGAGCATGGGTGCACTTTGTGTCACAGGGTGTTTATCGTTTGCGTGATGTACTGGTGGGGTAAAACTATACATACCTGCATATAAAAGCATGTTCACTGTGTTTCAGTGACGTGACAAAGCCGTCAAACATTGAAGCAATCCTGACATTTCATCCACTCTAGCTAGACATCATGTTACCACCACTGTCTCTATTCTTTACTTTCAATCAGCCAGTTACACAAGCGATAAATCATTTATTACCAGCAATAAAAACGTACAAACTTACCATAAGTACACGCTGAACATACAGCTAAAGCGATGACAAACTGGGAAACGCTCATTTTTAAGGTGCAGGTTGCAACATAAAAGAGGTTACTTCAGCAAATCAACAGGAACTTGATAATATCTGCAGATCGGGAGAAATAAAAACACCAAGATTGTAATAATGATAATGAATATCAGTTATGTCGATGTTAAAAAGAAGTTATTCAATTAGGCACGCAATAAACATGGCTTAAAAAACATCAACGTTTTTTTTCATGGGTGGAAATTTTGAGTTGTCGATTGTGTCCCCTCCGCAATAACGGCCTATTTTTCTCCTTGGGGCTAAAACAGGAAGGGCTTACACCCCCGCGATTCAAAAAGTCACCTTATGGATGCCAATCCGTTCTAGATACCCCGTTCAGCTTCCAAAGTAGATTAGGGCACCCATAAAAGCTACATCAAGTGCTACTCTGTTAAATCTGTGTTAGTATTTGAGTTGTCAGTTGTGTCCCCCTAGGTAAAAACTGTAACCCTGTCCCTCCTTTGGTCTGCTACTTGAAGTTTTGACACCCTGATATTCATCACCATTAAGTGTCTTGCCGACTGGCGTGGGTGATGATACCGCTTCTCAATCAGCGATCTTCAACAGTATGTATCAGTTCGTGTGTTGACACCTCTGCTTGTCAGGTCAAAAAGCTGTAAATAATCTTCCTGCGTTATCTGTCTTACATGAGTCGTCCCCTTGTGAGATGCAATTTTTCGTAATTTTGAAGACCCACCCTGGCTGTTGTCAGGGGCCCTAATATAACCTAACGACAGGGACCTCTCCACGGGTGATTCTCATCCGCATGGTTGGACTTTGTGTCACCGGGTGTTTATCGCTTTGTGTAATGTCCTGGTGGGGTACAACTTACAAACGTTTACGTTTTCTGTCTCTTTCTCCACACATTTTTTCCAGCTTTCTTCTTCTCATAGAATGCCCAACAAATTATGACCGTTTCTGACCGTTGTGATAAGTTGTCTTCGAACCCTCACGTCTTTCAAAACATCTGGGTGGCTCTTTTAGGCTGTCCAGACAATTCTAATGATTTATCTGTAAAACTTCTCCTTGGCCTCGGGAAATGGTTTGGCTTGTTTATTAATTGTCCAGGATTCCCATCATGTGTTAAATCTGGCACACATAGCCTGCGAAACATTTTTTCCAACCTCCAGTGACAAGGAGTTATTCCATTAAATGTTCTTTATTTCTATAAATGTTGTTTTTATCTCTGTGCTGTCTACATACGTGCAAATGCCAGCTGCTCGAACATGCTGAGAGAAGAAATACAATCTGGAAATAAAATATACTATACCCTTCAACATCTGCTAAAGTCTAAGTCCCTATCTCGCAACAACGAGATGAAAATATATAACATGTTGATAAGACCCGCTCTGAAACTAAAAGAGTTGGAGCCTAATTACACATTTTCGAAAACAGTTCTATGAGAAAACCACTGCCTTCTCTATTTATATACAGAAGGACCTGGAGAAAATTTTGGACCTATCAAAGATACAAACAGCGGGTAATGGATAGGGAGAGTAACAACGACATTCATTGTCTGTTTAAATCACCACTGATCACTGGCATCATGCGGGCTAATAGACTGAAATGGCTGGGGCATGTTGAATGAATGTCAGATGACAGAGAGGTAAAAACTGTTTACACAAGGGAGCTGAATGGTCTGAATAATATCCAGACAGACCTGCAAACGCTTGGTGTCACAAAAAACTTAAAAGAGAGATGAATGGAGGCGGGTGATATCTGCATCAGTGAACCTCATGGGCTTGGAACGCTGAAGAAGAAGACGGTAATCAAGACACATCTGGTAAAAACATAGACAAGCGAAGATACACAATGCAGATACACAACGGGCATACCCATTAAAGCTCCGACTCCCGCAGCAAAAGTCCTAAGGTGTAGATGCTAACTGTTCCCGTAAAAACGTTGATTATAGACACGTCGTTCTCTTCCTGTCATACATCCCTCCCCACCGGATCCACTCTTAATTCCTCGATCACACATTATTACACATCCTTTTTCATCGAATCTCCTGCCTTCTATTAGCATTCGTTCAATAATAGTCTTCATAATGCCTCCTTTGTCTAGTACGAGTGTTTCCGCAGCTTATGTGTTTGTAGCCGAAACATCCGCTCTTTTTTCCACTTACACTCCTACATCTGCCGGACACCATATCCTCGTGACTCTCTGCAATGCTGGCATACTGACGCTTGGTATCCACTCATGCCACATTTGTACATTCTGAAACCTTCACAGTACCGACAGATTCTCAGACACTATAATTCCACTGGTTAACCTACTTTCTGCAATCCATCTCAATGATTCTTTTTCTTCTTATAGTCCAACGCCGTGTGGCGTTGGTAGTCATGTCTATCCACAACCTTCTGACTCGTGTACTTTCAGTCAACTCTGACACAGATGATCTTCCACGCCATGATGTTGAATCGGTCAGCATCTGTTTTCATGGTCTGCAGTGATTCCCTCTACTTGATAAAATGTGGTGCAAACAAAACGGAAAGGTGTTTTTAACTATCAACACAGACAGACAGACAGACAGACACACACACAGATACACACACACACACACACAGAGACACACACACACACGAAAACACACAGGCATTGGCTGTTACTGTTAGCTTGGTGTCGGTACAAAGCATATACTATACTATACTATACTATACTATACTATACTATACTATACTATACTATACTATACTATACTATACTATACTATACTATACTATACTATACTATACTATACTATACTATACTATACTATACTATACTATACTATACTATACTATACTATACTATACTATACTATACTATACTTATACTATACTTATACTATACTATACTTATATTATGCTATGCTATGCTATGCTATGCTATGCTATGCTATGCTTTGCTCTGCTCTGCTATGCTATGCTATGCTATGCTATACTATACTATACTATACTATACTATACTATACTATACTATACTATACTATACTATACTATACTATACTATACTATACTATACTATACTATACTATACTATACTATACTATAAGCCACAAACCCTTTCTGTACTTCCTGTGTTTATTGTTAACGAAATGTTAACTCCTCGCAAAACGTGACAAATACAGGGGTTACATTTTCATTTGCTATTATGACTATAATGATTAATTTAACAATCGCGTTGGCGGCCCAGGTTACTGTGCATTTTTTCATTTATCGCGACAGTCAGTACAAAATAAAACCGTTGCTGGAGTTATATCCCATTTAATATTTCCCCCCCCCCCCCCATTACTTACTATAATTAGAAGACGGGTTATTAAAAACAGTGTTTCGCTTAGACCAATATTTCCACTAGGCCTAAATACAAAGCAGTGGTGGAGACCAATATGGGGTAGAGGGCGGGAGAATAAGACTTTCTTTCCCTATCCCAGGCGAAGCGGGCAATTAAATATAGTGTGTGTGTGTGTGTGTGTGTGTGTGCGTGCGTGCGTGTGTGCGTGGGGGGTGTGGGGGTGCGGGGGTGCGTGCGTGCGTGCGTGCGTGTGTTGTGTGTGTATGTGTGTGTGTGTGTGTGTGTGTGTGTGTAGGGAAATCCAAGAGCCGCAGGCAAAGATTCGTGTTGAAACGAAATATTTCGAGATATCTGTTAAAGAGCAAGGACGCAACTTCTGAAGCGCACAATAGGAAATCGAACTGATCCCTTACAAACATGAACATACACAAGAACAGGTCGCATTTCATAGAAAGAAAAATACAGTTCTAGTAAAAGTGAACATGACAAGATGGTTGTTGAAAAAAAAAATAAAAAAAAATAAACGACAAGTAAAATACGGTGTTTCCTTGAAAATAACAGATAGGATAAAAACAAGCCCTGGCAGGGACATACCAGCTCTACCCCAAAAATAAGCCCGGTCCAAGATCGTCGGCTAGATGATTATTCCTGACGTCCTTCTTAGGACGTAATTTTTTGTTATTTGAAGCCCCACTCTGGCTTTTGCCGGGGGCCGCAATATAGGCAGGCCATCAATATGGCCAATTGTCTGAACGCGGTTTCTGGGACCTCTCCACGGTGATCCTCATCCGCATGATGGCACTATGTGTCATCGGGTGTTTGTCGCTTGTGTGATGTCCTGGTGGGGTAGAAAGTCAGTCAGTCAGTCGTCGGCTAGACGACGGATTTCATTTGTGTGTTGAAAAATACATCCAGCGTACTGAATTATAAAGTTGTGTTGCATTGGGTCAAGAATTGACAGCACAGCAAATCTGTGGATTCCCATGCATGCTTCGTCCTCATCTTCAGCAGCCAGCACAAAATTATAATATTGATTGTACCGGTCACAATCTGGTTACGTGTCCGTCTTGCCTTTCCTCTGAGTTTAGTTAGCCGGTCAGACCCTCTGGTTAAGCCTAGGTGACTAATTCTCTCCAAGCCATAATAATCTTGTTTCTCTACTGATTCCGTTGCTTGTTCACAAAAGACCTTGACCACATCTGCCTTGTGATGTATCAATTTACCACCCAACGGTGCAGATCCAGCCAATCTGTCTGCCTGTTCATTACCCACCACGCCGGCATTGCCTGAAGAAAAGATCCAAATTATGCTTACTATTTGTGACCTTTCCAGTAAAGCTTGCCACTCTTTCTCATCTTGAATGATAAAGATGTTCGAGAAGAAAACAGTTTCACTGTATTATAAAGAAGTTTATTTTTATACTTAAAGAAAACAAATGGTCGCTTTTTCACGTCAATTCAAATACATTTCTGTACTTGAATAAATGTAGAATTTTGTACACGGAGATAAATGGCTTTTTTTAAGGGTTCTTTTGGAGCAATGAAAATAATAATCATAATAATAATAATCATAAAACACTATCTTCTTTTCATGGGAAACACGGTAGGTATTTCGATTATATTCAAAGACAGAACATATCACATAATAGCATACTGGAAGAAAAACTTGAAGGCCAGCGAGAAAAAGACAAAGAGCAAAACAAGTCACTTCCGGCCGATATAG